ATCGAGTAAAATCATATACTCTCTAAAAAATAAAGGTATTATAAAATACGAAAAATGGTATAACCATTTGAAACATATCATAACTGTTTAAACGGTTTTTACTTTTATCAGAAAAACCCTTTGGCATTTTTAGAATATGAAAAAGTCGTGATTTAAAAAACCCTGAATTGATCTGGTATTTTAAAATACCTGAAAGGTTTTTTTGTGACATGAAGAAACCACAACCGTTTTTCAGAACATAATTTAGCCGTATTTTAGAAAACGAAAATTAGTTTTTTGATAAGAAGAAGAAACTTTTAAACAGTTATGATATGTTTCAAATGGTTAAACCCTCTAAACGTTTTTCGCGGGTGGTTATACCTTTTTTTTGGTTTTTCTCAAATGGAGAATACTTTTTAGGGTTTTTTGAAATACCTTTTTTTTTAGAGTGTAGGGCTAGAGAAATCTTTTTTGGCACTATACACAGTAGAAAAAGATTAAATAAGGCAGTGAAAATGGATTTCCGTTTTTTTCCGGATTTCTGACTTGTACAGATGGCAACTCTGGTGTAGACGCTCAATTTTTGTGCCGCATACTTTTTTTCAATAGAAGAAAAGAAGGATATTACTATCAAGAACAAGTTCAAACGTGCAAAATGAGATTTAGTTTTGAAACGTATGTTTATAACATGACGGATGTATACTCAAATTACAAAAGAAAATATTTATAACTATTTAGTGTTCATTTGATTCTATTATTGAAAAAATAGAATCAAACATATTTTGATCTTCCTTTCTCTTTCTCTCTTCTTGAACATGTCTAGACTTTCTTCCTCACCATACTACTCGTTTCAATTTACGTCTGTCGTATGATGAAACGTCAACTTGTTCTGTTTCTATGGTCAATTCACATGTAGTTGAGTATATTTATATCAAACAGATACCGCGCAATGATGTTGTGTCCTAAGGGATAATGTGATCATCGTTTATGTTGTTTTGTAATGAAGAAGAAACGAGAGACACTTGAAAATGTAGTGTATCATAGATCACTAATGAATGACAAATCGGTAATTTCAACAATACATATTTATTCATATAAACAAATTTGAAGGAAAGCATATATATGATTAGACCGTTTGATATTTTCACATTTCCACCCTCTCAACATAATTTCGAACAATTTCCACTAAACAGAGCAGTCATGAGATTAAATCAGGCCTGCATGCATATTGTAAAGGAGATAGACTCTGGAATCGTATCACGAAAAGACTTAAGCTGGTAATTTGTTTACTTTTTGAAAGTCGCTGACAGTAGTGACAAACTTGGGACAAAAACCTGTAAAATAACGAAATATTTATTCTCTAAACCTTAGAAAGTCGTTTGCGTCGAATCGTATTGTTAAATGCCTGGGCAATTCCAAAAATGCGTTAGTGACTTAAGTGTTCGGTCTTAACTTTAAGACTACATTTTCCATGACTTAAGTCACCCTTTGACGTAAGTTATTTTGTAATACGGTAACATTTAAGTCCAAATTTTGACTTAAGTCAGACTTAAGTTTTTTTTTTAATACGGCCCCCTGATTTATTCTACTGAATGATCCCGTAAATTTTTGTTTGCTTTATAACTGACTATACAACGAGATTGTAGCGTAACTGATTGAATAATTATATTCAATTAACGTATTGATTTATCTGAATAACAACACGATTCGTTTACAATCTCTAACTTAAACAAACATGGAAACATTAATGTTGATTAATAATTAATTATTGAGTTGTATTCGAAATAGAATATTTTTGATAATTGTATAAAAAATAGATTTTGTTTTTGTATGATCAAGTGGTAATTGTTTGTAGCATCAATAAAAACAGAATATTTAATAATGACCTTGGTGAGTGCTAAGTGGATTCTGCCTTGACCTCTACAAAAACAAATGTTGATAACAATAAAGATGTTTTATACGAATAGTTTCACAGACGCTAGGCTTTGTAAAAAACATTTTAATTTTTACCTATCGCACAATTTAACATGGAAGTTTCATGTTTCCCAAATAGCAAAAAAGTGCAGACATATGCTGGGTGTTATACAAAGGACATTTAACACAGCGCTATCATCACTGCATCTTCACATTTTTATATCGTGTATAATGCCTGTAATGGATTATGCTACTGTTGTGTATGCTAGTGGAGCAAAATCACATTTTAAACCTTTACTCTCCGTTCGTAAGATTCATCTGTAATGATTATGTGACCAGCAGTTCGATACTTGTAAATAAATTGGGTTGAGCAAAAGACGTGAATAATTTAGACTTTATTTTTTATAAAATCATGACAGATAGAGCTTTCTCTCTCAATTCAATCTAATCAGCACAGACCGTTGACTACGAGAACATCTGAACGGTTGAGCAACCATTGTCAATGGAGCATTCCCAGAACGAGTTTAGAAGCCATTAAACATTTTTTTCTTCCACAAACTTGTAAAAAATGGAACTTTTTATCAAGATCAGTTATTTCCCAATTTTATCCTCAGTGCTTTTAGATGTGTGCTGTATCTCGATATTTGATTTTTCATTCTCTTCAGGTGTTACGATTGATACAAAGATTGTAATGCAACAATCGTATAGTAGCGATGCATTATAACGGCAGGACTCCATCAGAGACAATTATACAAGTAAATGAAGATGAAAAAACAAGAAAAAGAATAGAAATAGATAAAATATATTTTATCGTACAACATAGCACTAAATTCATCAGAATGAACTAAAATATTTTTCGAAAATTTACTAACTATCAATCTGTACCCCATTCAACAATAAACATTGACGTTCTAAAACTTTTCCAAAAGAAGCTTTTACAACGACGGATGTGAGATTCGCTTATTGACGATGCTTTTAGCGTCTTTCTGTTTACCTAAAGTGGACATCATTGGCAAGTGACCGTGAATGGATTAATTATTAATTATCTGAAAGACGCAGAGATATCGGATGATGATTGTAAGTATATTGAGTCGTCTATAATCAAATATCAAAATGCAACGGATCATTTATGTCAAAATATTCAAAAACGATTGCAAAGACATTAGAAAAGAACTGTGTGATGAATATGAATTTACCATAAAAAAAGTAAGTATTTATACTGCAGTTCGATCATTTTATTCATTATTTGTTCAATATTTTATATAGACTAAGTGAAATTATTCAAACTTATATTCTTGTCTATTTTTCAAGTACTTATATTGTATTTTTTATTTTCTATTAGTAATTTTTAAGATTGAAGTAGTAACGAATGTGAAATGTAGTAACAATAACTCATGTGTAACCAACAAAGAATCATACAGAAAAAAGTATAAACAACGGACTTCAATTCAAATGCAAGGATCAATTTTGAAACCAAGAATTGCAGCAAACGTTCTATTATCCTAAATAATCGATATTCGCATCAACTATTATGACATTAATAATAACAATAAATTTTTTGCTTAATCACAAATAACTATAATTAAATATGGATGACTTAATCAATAAAGAGAAGGTTGACTTAATTGAACTATTTATCACACTATTTGTCACTGTAAAAAGAGTCTTATAAGTTTATAAGAAAACTTTGAATCTGTCTAACTCGAAAACGCTTTTGAAGATTAGAATATTGGCATCATTCGATCATTTTTGAATGGTACATATTGCACAAATATTTTTTTGAACATGGTAAGTATCATATTAGCATTTTTGTATTTGTATAAGTCTATATTTATGCAAAAAGCAAAGAAAAAAAAGAATCTGAAAGGCATACCGTAAATACTAACATATAAAAAGGAGAACAAGACATTATTCTGAATGGCGAAGAAATTTACGGAAACGTTTTATACGAGAACAATGAGTTAGCAGTTGAAGAGGGAAAAAATAACCACAGAGAAAAAAACAAAACAAAAATATAATATTCTAATGCTACAATAATCAGAAAGTTAATCCGTATTAACTTTTGTGAGTCTAGGAGTAGAAAGTTTCATACATAAAATATTATTAAATACGAGTAACAACATCGATAGCAACAAGAAAAAGAAAAGGTGTCGATTATTGCTTATATATGACGATGATAAAAACGCTAGAGCACAAATAAGAAACCAAAAACAAAATAAATCCTACATGAAACCACTTGAAATACCACGCGAAGTTTGTTTGTCAAATTATAAATGTATTTATGTGCGTCAAAAAAAAACTAGACAAACAGATCGAGAGGGAAAGAACAAATGCATATAAATACAAATAGAATTTTTATTTACAATAAATGAGAAAAACAATTTTTGACCACATTTTTTTGTTACTGTCCAAATGGAGATGAAAAAACAAAAAAAAAAGAAATAGACAAAATATATCTTATCGTACAACGTAGCGATAGAATATAAACTCATGACAACCAAGTTGTATCACTGTTCCAGCATCAATACGTGCTGCCCCATCCCATGCTGAATGAGATTTTGATAATGATTGACAACAACATCGTTGTAACGGAATTGATAATGCATCATTAGTTCCACTGTTAGTAATCTTGTCGCTCTGGTCCTCTATCTGTTCGGCATCATCATCATCATCATCGTCGTCATCACTGGATATGTCTCTACAAAAACAAAGATGTTATCGTCAGTGAACTGATATCAAAAAGCATTCTGAAAACAAGAGAGAGTTTGTTTTCGAGCAAGTTAGTCCAAAAGTAAATTTTCTGCATACAAAGTTCAAGTGTTCGATTCCATCAGCTGTGTAATAGTCTTTTGTGCTTTGCTTCTTTCTGTTCTATGCTTATCTCTATCACTTACTCAACACAAGTCACTCAAGAAATTTTAAATACTCATATATATATAGTAGATGGAATAAAACATGGTACTGCAAACAATTGGCCAAATTCTTGGGATACCAGCAATAATCTGTTCAAAGACATTAATAATAATTTGATTCAGTCTGTATTCTTCTTCCAGATAGGTGGATAAGATTTAGCTGTGGTCCAATCTTTTCATGTATTTTTTAGACTCTTTTCTGAAGAATGGTTTTGAAAACTAACTACTTAATCGTTAAACAAGTCTCACCCTAAACCATATCTCAATCCATCAACTATTGTTCCATATTCACTATAGTTTAATAGTTCAAATACATTTGTTTTTTCATCGTAATAAAGACAAGCATGTTTATCACTAATATACGGACACGTTAATAAGCCGTTAAATTTAGTAAGACATATATCATTCGATATGGATAAACCAAACCATATATTACGTTTATTTAAGTAAAGTACTTGATGAGTACGTGTATGAATCAATGCCGCATAGGCTAAACGAAATTTTTCAAAATCCATTATGGATTTATAAGGTGAAATAACTGACTGTTGTTGTGACTGTTGTTTTGACTGTTCTTGCTTCTGATCAATGACGATGGTATTAGACGGTGGTTGTGTATCTATTATTGTTTTATTATAAACATGATCACTATGTACAAAAGGTGGTGGTGTAATGTACAATGGATGTGATGATATAGAGGTACTAAAATGAAAAAAGAACTAGAATTAAGAAACTATAAGGAACACACTATTACAAAAAGAACTTGTAATATTTTTCTGTTTATTTCTTTCAGGCAAGAATCGATCATAAAAATTAGCTTACTTAGTCTGTAATGGTGTTAGAGAATTATTGATTTGTTGATCATTATGTACAATTGATTTAACTGTGTGATAAGAAGAACTAGGCGTTGCGCGTGGTGGTGAGACAACTTTTAATGAAGTATCAGACTGTGTGGTCGTTGTAGAAGGTGAAGATGATGGATTTGACGATACTGAATATTGCTTATAGAAAGTATGTTGGGATAACTGAAATGTTTTTGGTTTTTGTTGTGTAATAACTTTTGTCGATTGACGTAGTTTTGATGCTGTAGTTGATAGTTGTATTTGAGAATGCTGAGATTTGATTGTCATTGGTGTTATTTGATTCAATTGTTGCTGTTGTTGTTGTTCTTCGTACAATGAAGATGCGGCAGTAACAAGTGCAGCTAAACCATTACTTTCAACATGAATAGGTTTCGAAATTGATCGATAATGAAAATAATTCGACTCATTCAATGTATTCAAATATTGATCAATTGTATTCAAAGTAATTGTTGATTCTTGGAGTTCTTGAACTTGTTTTTCATTATCTTGCATTCCATTTATGTCTGTTTTAATTGATAGCAATTGATATGATTTTAATTTAACAACATCATCTATGATTGATTGAATTACATCCCACACTTCAGTATTATACACATTGGTCGTGGTAATTTTGTTATAATTCTCATATCTATTGTTGTTCTAAACGAACAAAAACAAACAGCGGTTATACTGAAAAAACATCTAGAAAAATTTTATAAGTCTCTTTTGAGCTGGATTGGTTTAAAAATTTCGTTAAAATATACTTCAGTGTCAGAAATAGGTAGTTTTCTTCTACTTTTAAATGTTTTTGTTACTAGCTTACTATAATCAAGAAAGAAATAGAAGTCGACGTAATAAACATACCTGTTCATATTCTATTATATCTGTCTGCCCTTTATTATCTTCATCATCATTCATTTTAAATTTTTTCTTTCGTTGTTGACTATTGTCATTAAATATTTTCTTATAATAATTCTCAATTGATTTTGGTATCTGACTAACTTGAATGTGCTCTAAATGTGTTTTATTCTGATTTAACACAGTCAAATATTTTCTATTTTTTCTTAATTGAGAAAAATCTTGTATAATTAAATTTGGTTGTATATTTGAATATTTTTTATATAATTTTATGTTTTCACTTAAACATGTGAACTGACCGTAATGTTTAAGTAATTTTTTATCTAATATTGGTTCACTATGATTTGGACACATCCATTTTTGTTTTGGTAACGATGTTAGCGGTGGGTTTAAACAATCTAAATGATAGGTCAACGGACAATAATTACAATGAACGAGAGGACAATTGATCCTTGAATGAGATTTAATATGACGACACAGAAAACAGTATTTTTGCCAAATATGAGTAGATGATGTACAGTTATCATTTCGATCATTCACATTGACATAATTATTAATAGGCGATAATTTCCTCGTCGTCAGAGACGATAAAGGAGCATTAATTGACAGATTCGAGGATGGATGAAGACTATTTGTCCTATTCACATCATAGGGTACCGCTGGACCTTTAAATTCGTCCGATTTAGTCGCTAATAATAAACATTTTAATACTTCGACGGACGAGTTTAATTTTGATGAAGAATGATTGTTCATCAGTGTGACTGCTTTTGATAAATGAGACGAAGATTTAATTGACATAACATCATTATCATCTACTCGTTTTCGTTTATTGGTATTTCTTACTGACTTCTTCTTGGAACGCTTTTTAAACACATGAGATTTGTGAGATTGTCCAGCATCAGATTTAACATCAAGTGAAACTAAAAAGTAAGAGTAAATATCACATTTAATAAAACAACAGTGCAACTATTTACTTGAATTCTGTTCATGTTCACGCTGATTTGACAGAGTTGATAATTTTCGTTTAGGTGACGGTAAAGAATCATTTGTTGTTAGGTTCAAGAAATCGATCTGATTAATATTGCTATTGCTATTGTTTGATGACGATGCTTTTTTAATATCAAATAAATCCTGTTTATATCCTCCGTTTAACTTAGCTGTGGCTTTTTTAGGATCAAATGAGAATGCTGATTTTTGTTGATGATTTGTATCGTTGTTATTATTATTATTGTTTACACTCGTAGATGATGAGAGATTATCTCGTTTATGAGCAATACAATTTTCACAATGATATGAACTAGACGGTACATCTTCCCTCGATAATGGTGGATTAGCACATAGTAAATGAAATGTTGCTGGACATGTGTCACACGAGATTAATTCACCGTAACGATCACCACATGAATCACAATATTCATTGTTGATATGAGGTCTTCTAAGTGACGAAATATGTCGTTCAATTCGTTGTTGAGAGGATGTTCGTACTGGACTTATTTTATGATGAAGATGATTCTGATAGATTGAATGGTGTGTAAGAATAACTGAAGGAGATTGTGCACAACTTGACGATACAGTATCTGATGATGGACTAAGCTGAATTTTTTTATTGTCACGTTTTGACAATGTGTCAATTGTTTGCTGAGCTTTTTTAGTTGTTGATGTAGCATTCGTTTTCAAAAACAGAACTGGTAAACTATCTGTGGCAGATGATTGATTTACGATTCGATCACTAAAAATTGGAAAACATTAAATAGGCATGCAATCGAACAAAATAGGTGTTCATGATTGTAAAATATAAGTATCCAGAGAACACTAGACTATTGAAGAAACAATGTGTTAATTTAAGTATCAAATATATTCAAGTAAATTCTCTAAATTTTTGTTACCTGTTTTTAGTAGAATCTATTATATTGCCGATCGAAGATGATAATGTGCAATTTGTTTTTTGCGACTTTTTTTGTTCAGTAAAAATATCATTCTGAGTTGTTCGTGATTTCAATTTCTTTCGTTTTGTTGAACTAGTAGAGGATTTATCTAGAAGAGAAGTGAAAATCATAGATGACACTAATATTGTCACTGAGCGCCTTCATACCATTGAGTCCATTCGTTATTGAACGAGAGGTATGATATCCATTACTGGTTACAATAGTATTCATCGTGGAAACTCGTACGTTAAAGAAAAGTAAAATTTTCAATGATTAAAAAAAACAAATCGTGAACAATTCATTGTACGAATACTGTAAAAAAACGATTGTAAATCTAAAATGTAGAAAAGAAACAATAGCATTGGATAACAGCTGATTGGGTTCAGAGCGTTATTGATACAAACGCATCAAAAGTAGGAGACAAAAACAATATAATCGATCTCATCGCTCTCTCTCTCTCTGTGTCTCTTAGACATACGCAATGACTTACAGAAAAGGAAAGAAAAACAAACTAGTAAAAAAAATAAATAGTGTATACTATACATATGTCGATGATATAAAATATAATTAAAGCATCCATTAAATGAAGGACTATTTCACTCAGACAGAATACAATATTTTGCTTTTTCATGTTTAATTTTAGCTTTCGACAGCTGTTTTATTTTAAAACAACATCTTTCTAATGAGATAAGAAAAGTCTGCACAGCAGAGAAAATAAATGTGAAGAAACTTCCACACTTATCGAAGGGCGCTATTCCTTCAAGAAAAATATAATGCCACTAGTCTTCTATGAGAGATGACGAGCTCTCTATTGTTCATTGTGTACAGCTTCTTCTGTTTTATTTCAATACTTGCATATACGCGATAAATACTAATTTCTTTATCTCTCATTGGCCTAATTACGTCTGATCTAGTGGATTTCAGCAAAAAGCAATTTACAGAACGCAATAACTCGATAGAATTTCAAGCTCTCTCATTATGATTATTCAATAATGCATAAGTTGGACCATAAAGCTCATCGTCTTCTTCTTCGTCATTATTCGAGTGTAAATGAAGAGCACTATTCCCATTCATTAACTCCGATTTGATATGTTCAGATGATGTACTTTTAACAAAATCATTATTATTATAATTTGTTGAACTATAATCATGATCAGCACATTGTTTAGATGTTTTAGATATAGACAGAAAGCTCTTTGGTGAAAATAATATGTATGATACAATTAAAATACTCAAAAAATTTATAATTGCCACAACACCTAAAATTAGAAAAAAAAGAATCATAAGACGTACTTTTATACACGACTAACAGTATAACTTACTGATGATTAGTTTTAATCGATATAGTTCAGTAATAAATGACATAATAAACATTAACACTATTGGATAGGTGAACCATACCTAGAATTAACAAAACAAGGTTAATTCGAAATAAATTTGAGAATAATCAAAGGTATGTACCATGCAACATGCTCCATAATGATGGAAAAACTGTAGTTTCTCATCATTTTTCTCCTTTCGCGTTGTCTCTTTTAACTCATAGACAAATAATAACATAAGAAAACATCTCAATAATAGCGATAAATAGTTGGAAAATGTTTGATAATGATTAGTGTCGATAACTGAATTTATACTAAAATAACTTAAAATATAACAGAAACAAAAAGAAGATGTATATAATACAAATAATATTAACGTTTTTTTTGAATGACGTAACTTTGTTGTGATTATTAACCAACCTATTGAGAAAAGAAAACAAGAATAAAAATCATCTTCATTGTATAAAAAAAACACATCGAGTATTTTTCACTAAGAAACGGCAAGAAAACCTGGAAAAAAGGTCAAACTAAGCAAAGAATACCACGTATTAATAATGAATATCTTAATACCGTGTACAATAAAAGCTGAAAATTTTCTCAATTTTGTCATCCTTTTCTCTTGCGATTTTTATGTCTGACATTGTGTTTTGGCTTCGAAGGAAGTATTTTTTAATGAATGGCGGTATCAACTACCAAAATCGACTTAATAGTTTTCGTTTACGAAACTTACTCATTTCTCTAGTGTTTTCAACATTTTCCTTCGATGCTCCCTTTTTATATGCAAATAGAGCACCAAAAGCCGCACATAAAATTTGCTTTCATCTATATTACCTTTGGCTATAAACATCAACAATAAGATTAAAATAGATTCTCCAATAATGGTGGCCAAATTTCCGATATGTACAAATGTGTAGAGTCCAATTCCATTATAAGAGTATAACAAATAGTGTAGTAAACAAAATAAATTTCCAATTAAAAATGAAAATTGAAATAATAAATAAGCAATCATAATCGGATGTTTATAGTGGTATGATCGAATATTATAAAGAACATATGGTAGTGGTATTATGATATACAACAGAACACAAGCCAAATATATTTCGATTAAATCATGTAAATCAAACGAAAATTGATATTCAAAACGGTTCTCAATTTTTGTTTCTGGATTTCCATTCACTATCCAAATATCATAGTCGATTTCATATGAATCATTCATTAGTTGCCATTCACATTCACCTGACGAAGTTGGCTCCAAATGACAAGCAATTAAACTCAAATACCAAAACCTGTAAAAGCAATAATGTATAATATTCGAGTGTTTTTTCTAATAACTGCAGTTGTTATTAAATAAAGAAGCAGTTCTTGTCACTGACTAGCACTAATTACTCCTTTTTTTACTTGACGCGTATTCTGGAGCCCATCATCTCATTTATACAATACGACGTTTAAAAATGTTTTGAAAATAAATGACTTTAGCCTTATTCTGTAAAATTAGCTGACTCACGCAAATAAAAAAGTTTCTCCCCTATCCATCTCGTCGTTTTTACTAAGAAAATAAGTAATATGACACCAAATTAATGAGTAAAACTTTTCATTTTACATAGGCATTGAGCACAGAAATTAATTTAAAGAGAATGTAGTGTAGCTATGTAGCTATCACCAAAAAAATGAAGCAAATGTGAGCGTCTTTCAGCTAATCATGTGGCAAGTAATCTCTCGTCCCAAAATCTGATTCCTAAAGATTCAGTAGCCTTAAAAAGGTTGTTGTTGAACTCTTGACTGTTCTAGTACTAATAAATACACAACACAAACTGATGTAGAAATATATTGCTATGATCAGCTCACCTGGGTTGATTAATGTCCTGTATTTTGAATGTAAATTGTTGTTTACTAATAACATTTTCTGGTGCATCTTCGTCTGGACATAACTGATCTCTCTCACATGGTATCCGTCTTAAAAAATCTTTTTTCCCCGTATCGTAACATTGTCTATCATAGGCATTTTTTTCTATATTTTTCATCATTTGTTTACATGTTTCACTTGTCGATGCTGATCGGGGATGATAATACTTGTAGACATATGAAAAATAATCATAATCTAATATGGTGAAGAAGATATCTTTATTAATACATGAAGATGATAAGGATGAGGTTCGATTTGAGACTAATTCTGAGCGTGACGTTGAAGATGATTTAAAACACAATTTTTGTTGATTGGTGGCTGTTATATTTCCATAGATATAACCGTATGTTTGTACGGCATTATGTTCATCCGTTTTTTGTATACCAAATTTTGTTAATAAACGAAAAAACGAACGAGTATTGAATTTCCCAACAAGATGTAGAGACTTTATGCATTGAATTTGTTGCAATAAGAGAATTAAGTAAACTATACGAGAATAATTTATTTTATTATACGTAGACGATGGGAACATTTAACCCGCTTAGAAATGGAAAAAGAAAAAGAAAAATAATTCAGACAATTAGTTTTGCATGATCTAAAACACGACGCTATCATAATTGTCCAGTAGAAATGACTTACATCTAGAGCTAAACCATTCTCACTACTCTGTTCTGTACTTTGTCTTATATTTTGTGTCCTCTTCTATTGGTTCACAGAAGAAGCGAACTAATAAATGCAGAAAGTCGACACTTAATGGCTGACAAATATAAGCACAACGAAAGAAATATCGCGCATTCGTATCAAACTATCTATACATGATACGATACAAATGACTTCTTTTTTATTTTAGAATTATCTCGACGACATGTGCTTGTAACGCCCGATATGTAGATCAACTAGCTGCGTTCTGTAGAGGGTAAATTTATGAAGTATGTTCCTTGTTCTTCTTTGCTTTAAAAAGAAGAACGACAAAAATAAACCTAATTAGGATTGTGCCTGAGTTAAATGCTAACTTTTTCAAATAATACTGAATTTGCGTAGCATACTAAACATTTGAATTTTTTATAGTAAGTGGAAAATGCAGTTACATAACAGGCGTCGTTCATCATGACAATAAATGTTTAAAAGCATACAAGAACCAGAAAAATTAAGAGTTAAATCTTCATTTAATTTGCATTCTAACACAAGATACAGTAAAAAATCAAATTTCTTGAAATAAAAAAATCGTTCTTATTGACGTTTGAAACGGATACTGCGTTCGTTTCAAAGAGAGATTCTCTACTGAGATATATACAGAGAGGCTATTTTCAAGGTAAATCGAGAAATAAAAGTACCGAATGAGAGTGATCGTATCTCCTTACAACTACAGACTAATTAGGATAAAATAAAAGCTATAGGTAAGGAAATAAATGAATACCTATGAAGGTCTGCGGTAAAATGCAGCTTTGACAAGAACTAATCACAGCGCTTGCCGATAGATGACTCTGCTTTTTTGCCGTACTTGACGTCTTCCATTGTACCAGAATGTGATGATAGACCCTAAAAGAAACAACTTTTAACCTTCTAAAATTTTACAGTAATCGCTGAAACGCCAATTGTTAGGTCAGGAAACGGAAGGTTCGCCTGATCGGAATTAAAGGCAGTAATTAAAAACATTATGGCATTTGATTCATGAAAAGACCAACCAAAAATCAAAGAAAGTAGAGTACCAGTATATACTTTCTTTGAGATTATTATACTTCCAGAATAAGTCATAGAAATCCTTAACATAGTCACAGAAGAAATAGTATTTTTTAATGCCACATTTTTCCTTTGATTTCAACGCCTTTGTTGTAGTATCGTGACAAAATGTTACTTTAGCATTTCTGCAGTGAGCCTCCTCTATCACGATTTTCTCGTATTATGTAATATTTTTGCAGTTTGAGAAGACAGATTTTCCGAATCATCACAACTGAAAATTTCCCCTCGTTTTGATATCACATGCTTCTACTGGACGTTATGTTTCTTGCGATGGATCTTAGATTTAATTTTTTATTTATTTTTATGTGTACGTATGATATGACGTTCTAAATAATTTTTTTCGTGGATGGTTGTAGGTAACGAAAAAATATTCTCGTTGTTGTTTTTCGTAACATTTTTCTTCTTCTGCTTGTATACAAGTTGACCTTTCGCGCTAGATACAAAAATCGTCAAGCCTTGACTAACCTGCACGACAGTCGGTATCATACTTGTCTAAGAGACATGGATAATCGAAATGTACGAGTAGTGTTATATATAAACTCCAAAAAAAACACTGCGTTTTTGCTTAGATGTGCGAAGAAAATGACTGAATAAACAGTCAGATAACTAGGGTACAAGCAACATCAAATGGCGTTTTTGATAGAAACCTCTTGTTCGAACAAAGATTTGATACTACCAATTTCAAATAAAAAAGAAGTGAATCTTTGTAAAACGGCTCTTCGATTCAGTCTCTCGATTTGTTCTGATACTGAATAGAATCTGGTTTTCATCTGTTACAAGAATCAATATAGCAGTAGCACCTCCGAATATTCATCGCAAAATATAACAAAAAAATGCAGGAATCATTGGTAAAAATGTTATATGCTACTTTATTTTCTATTGGAAAACTCAACAGGAAAATGGTTGCGTGTAACGGAAAAGGTGGTCTTATTATTCTATGGAGTAAAACATGCAACAGAATAAAATGTGGTATTGCTTTCATCCTATTGGTCAATCAAACGTAATGTCAGGGAAAACTGTTTTTAGAATACATTCAGATGTAGCTTTGACATAGAAAAAATGTTGAGAAAGGATATTAATGAAAGGTGACATTTTTTTGTGATGGCATTTACTTTTTCCCGTAGTTTTTAGTGCAATTGTCCATGTCTTGCTTTTATTTGGATAGGTAGGATTCTGAAGTTCTTTTGAGAGACTAGCTGTGAAATACAGCGGTTCAAGTTGTCAGATGATACTTCGAACATTTTAAAGAATCATTGAATGGAATATTAAGCTTTTCTTTTTTTCAGATTTAGTATTCATCAAAAAAAGAAAGATCCAAATGTCGATCCGGGCAAGAAAAAACATAGTAAGCATTTTTTATTTTATATTTCGAATACACATATCCGTTAGAAATTGATTTAATTTGTGGAAATTAACAATTGATTTGAGAAAAAAATAGTATTTCAAAGAGTGGCACCCTTGAAACATTTATCTGCCACTCCGATAGATAAAACCTAAATAAATCACTATAGGTGTCTACAAGAATGAGTGAATAAATTATGATTTCATTTCGCAAGAAGCTAAAGATATATTTTTTCAGATGATATTCTAATTAAAGCTGTTTTATTCTTGGTCGACAGATACCTTAATGATTTTGACCTAGGATTTCTTTCATATTTACAAAAAACAAGAAAGTCTTTAGTAAGAATGCTTTTTTTATCTTTTTAGCTTCAACCAACGGGGTTTAGAGCAGCACCTTTAATCATCGATGGCCGTGGTCATTTAATCGGTCGTTTAGCTAGTATTGTAGCTAAATCAGTTTTACAAGGCCATAGTATTGTTGTTGTTCGCTGTGAAGGGCTAAATATTTCAGGCAGTTTTTATCGTAACAAACTGAAATATCTTCGGTTTTTACGTAAACGTTGTAATATAAATCCAGCACGTGGTCCATTTCACTTTCGTGCACCATCAAAAATATTTTGGCGTATTGTCCGTGGTATGGTGCCACATAAAACTGAACGTGGTAAACAAGCATTATTACGACTAAAATCATATGAAGGTGTTCCAGCACCGTACGATAAAAAAAAACGTATGATTGTTCCGTCAGCATTACGTACATTACGATTGAAACCACGACGACGATATTGTGAATTAGGACGTTTATCACATGAAGTTGGTTGGAAATATAGTGATGTTGTAGAAACATTAGAAAAAAAACGTAAAATAAAAGCGAAACATTACCATTTAAGACAACGTGGCTTAAAGAAAATTAAAAATACCGCCAAACAAGCTATAACAAAAAAAGCAGAAAAACATATTGAAGTATTAAAACAATATGGATGTTTCAATTTATAGGAAAGTAAAGAAGAAGAAGAAAATGTGTGACAACGGAAATACAAGTGGTGAAGAATAAATTTTAGTTTTTGTTTTTCATTCCGTTGAATTGTTACAAAGATTTTTTTTGTAATAAAACAAAACAACTAGCAAAGATCAACATTTATAATAAAATGAAAGTATATTTATAAAAAATACCTAAATAATGAAAAGTTGTACAAGTATTTGTTATGACTCTTCATCCTTTAGTGTGTGCTTGTTTCCTGATACTGCTACCACATTTATTTATTCTGCTTGTTATAGATTAAAGACTTACAAATAATTTGGTGACGGTTGCTTGATTGTTTGTTTTTTTAACATCCACGCTATTAACCAACCAATCCTATTTTTTGTACGTATTTGTTTTTATAATTCATATTTGGCTTGATATGCTAACCTTCATTCCTTCCAAAAAAAAATAGTTGTGCTTCGTAGGCTCTAACCTTCCACATTTCAGCCAAAGGTGAGTTTTCTAGCTTGCGTTAATGCTTGTTGGAATTTTTCTCTTCGACCTAAAAATGTCAAAGTTCATTTGTCTATTTGAACTGTTTTAATTGCAGCAAGAACGTCTTGAATTGTGTCAAACAGCAAAGAAGAATTTTAGATCTAGCCTCTTCCAAGAATGCATCAGTTCCAAGTGGATAATTACAAAGATTATGAAACTAATTTGATGAAGTTTCGATACAAGACAAACGCAGTTTTGTTCTCTCTGCCTGTTAATAGGATTAAAATTATTGACTCGGCCGAAAAACACAGGTTTGCACCAACTTCAACGTGCTTTTCGATCGAGTCAATAATTTTAATCCTATTAACAAGCAGAGAGAACAAAACTGCGTTTGTCTTGTACCGAAACTTGATCGGAATCACGGGCTCTTAAGAGTGAAAAATAGTGTTTATAATCATCCACTTGGAACTGATACATTCTTAATCGCTTCGATTCAACATTATTGTGCACAACGAGCAAGTATGAGATATATTCATTCTTTACGTCTGTCGTTGATACTTGATATTTAGATATTTTTTACATAATATCTTTGCTCTGTCATGTCGAAAAATAATTTTTTAACATGTTATAACTACTATAGAATTGAAAAGAAAGCTTCAATAACAAGTACTATTATTGTGTTAATTTTGTGAATTTTATACGTTGTTAGTCACTGTAAAATTCAATTACTTGTTCAACATTTAACTACACTGTCAGTGAACGACGAATGTGAATTAATGTCAAGTGAATAAGTCGATAATCTTCAGTACTATTTTGGGAACAACATTTTTTTTTTAATCAATCTTATTGTTGAAAATAATTGTTCTACTGTTACGAATAATATGACAAATAACTAGGATTCGATTTGTAAAAACCAGGCTCGTAGCGCAACATTTAACACCTGTTGACATTTACAGCGCCATCTTCATTCTAAAGAATAGAGTATTACGTTTTTTTTATTCAATCAGAGAAATAATAAAATAAAATTATAAGGGGGGTGTGCTCGAGTACCACGAAGTACATATCCTAACTACGGGTCTACATTGAACTACCTGTATTATATGTGTAAAGTACTTTAAATCGTTAAAACTTGACACTTGAACAGTTTCACTTAGCCGTGTTTTTTTTCATTTTCTTCTCATTGAACGACTCTTTTTTTTTTCGTTCAATAAACGTATAGATACGTATAGAATAATACAAAAGTAATAAAAAGCATAATGGATAAGTAATGCCAATAATTTTATTTTAGTTTTTTTTTGTAAGTTGTAAAAAATAGGGAATTTGAATAATAAAATAAGAAATGGACATAGTCCAAACATGCGCAGATGCCGTCATTAGATCATCTTCTGTCTTGAAATATCTTCGATATTATATACAATGATAGACGAATAGTAAACCGAAATACAAAAGAAAAAATGATTTGAGAACGTAAGTACCATGTCAACAGATCGCATAATGAATTTGAACATTTATTGTACACAAACAGTTACTTTTTTTTTGCCAGACTGACTGACGCTAAATGCCGTCTGAAAAACACTTGTATTAGCTTTATTGGGTATTAAACTATTAACTCTATTTTTTTGGGCTTAGAGCCATCAAGGTAAAAGCTATTTTCAATGATAAAAAAGTTATGATATTTTGTTCTATGAAAAATGTTCAGTTTGTTTTAAATGTAGACCTTTCAAAATTTTTATTTGTATGAAAGTTAAGTTTATATTGATCAACGAATGCCCTTTACATTTGATATTCATATTCTCTCGCTTGACTATGGACTTCTTTCCTATTTGTTTTCATTTGTCCTAAGATAATATTTGTACAAATAACGAATAGGTGCACAATAGAGATATATGTAAACAATTATATTTTCACACTTATACGTACGTATATTTTCATTGTCGAAAGAAAACTTAATAAGATTTATAGAATCATGCATATATATATATGTGTGTATGCGTGCTAATGATAAAATTAAGGTAAACTTTTTTTTTACAACTGTTTCATTTATCAAGTGCTGATGCCATCAGATATACGATAATTGTAGAATAATTCAATTATAATCTATTTAATAGTGAAAATCACTATTATTCCAAAAATTCCTATAATAATATGTGATAGCAAGACTTTCTTTTTACTGTAAGAAGTTATTGAATGTGCTCTAACCGACTGTTTAACTTGGAAATTTATTTTCAAAATCCAACTAGATTGATAGAAATACTATTTTTCAACAAAAAAGAACATTAGAATTTTGTCTACAATGTCAGATTCAGATAGGCTTCTAACTATGATATTTGGATACAGCATACTTGACTATATTTATAAATATAGAAATATTAAATCTCATTATATTTAACTGTCTAGAACAGTGAATGTTATTTTTTGATATAGATGTTTGTATTCTATACAGTAATGTATCATTTAAAGGAATCAGTTATTTATTTGTCGTACGCATTATAAGCAAGAATTTTAAGGAACATTTTTTGGAAAATTATTCATTCTTTCCGTTTCCGCTATTTCTTTTTTCTTTCATCAAAGAAGAAGAAAAAAAAATAAAACTAACTGATGATGAACGCAATACAAATTTCTTTTTTTTGTCTAGCACTACTACCAGAATCGTTTAGTGTACTAAATGCTTAAAATGATCTGAGATGTAAAAAAGTGTCTTTTTGCCAGATTTCTAATACATATAATGTTTTGATATGACTTTTTCACATTCATCATGAATATTAAACATGTCTATCTGTTTAAATTGATAAATTAACGAAAGGTCGACATATTGGTTCGTTTTTTGTACAAATTTATTAAAATAGTCGACAATGTAGAGAAAGAATCTTATTGGCCCTTATTTATTGAACTATGATTCCACAGAGATTGTCTATTTTTTTTTTCCTATATTTTTATTTGTTTTGCTTATTCTGTTCATTAATCAGTCTGTAAACATGAAGACAAAGGGATGAAGGTTTTATTTAATGCTTATTTTTAGTGCTTCATATTCATTTATTTTTGTCTTTTTTTCTATCATAGATCTTAATCATTCAATATAGGTTCATTTGAATATTGAAGGATATAGTTTTGTTGATTACACATTCTAATACGTGATGATATGTACACTCTATTCAAATAGCAGAAAGAGAGATATGTGTACAGTTTAGAATTATACATGACAATGATGTTAGAAAAAAATTCTAACATCATTCAGTGTGTATATACTTGGGAACAAAAAATCACGATTAAGTTAGATACTCAATAGATGAAGGAGATCATTTAAAATTTTATTTGATAATTAGAAGTGAATATAGTTATTTGATCCGATTGGAATAGATACTAGGCGTCAGCTTGAAGAAATTCGTACAATTTAATCTAAAAGTTTTTTCTTACATTAAAATTTCTCCATTTTCTTGTGAACGTTTACTTTTTTTTATCTGTTTATTTCTTGTAACGATAGTTTGTAAACAGGAAAAATATTGATTTTTGTAAAAATTTAATAAGTCTAATAGAATTTTGTTATAAAAATTGAATTATTTATGAGACGTTTGATTTTTGTCAAACAAGAAAACTCATCTGACGCCACAAACTATAGAGACTTTTTGTTCTTCTAATAAACAAGTTTATTTTTATCTCATATAACGATGTGAGACACCTGTTTATCTCTATTAGCACTGTCTACATTATTGATTATTATCTATTTGTTATTTCTATTGGTGACGTCAAGGACAATTAGTTTGAAGTGAGGCTATTTGATTTATCATTGTTCATCTGTGTATTATGGAAAAAAAACAGAGAACAATAATAATAACTAGAAAAAATGATTAATAGAATGACACTTGTATTCGATGGAAATATTTTTCATTATTATAATTTTTTCACAATAATCCAGGTTGATAGTATTTATCTTCTGATACGTGTGACAGTTTCATATTCAACATAAATTAAATAAACATTTTTTCTTTTTTCTACAGTAATGTTCAATATTCATCTACTCTATCTTAGTGTGTTTATATTAGTCTGATAATTTAATTGTACAACATATTCACAATATATGATTTATTTCTAAACATTATCTTTGCTTAAATTTCAATACCATTAATCATATGATTGTTCTATTTTTATTTTTATTCTAGTATGATAGATATATTTTATATAAAACCTTTTAGAAGATAGATCTTTTTTTAGTCGTATTATTTAATTTTATATTGTCTTAAATTTTTTTTAATAATCATCAATGAACGAAAACGACAATTATCATCTTTTACATGCAGAACGCGAAGATGAAGATCTTGATGACTTGGAAAATGTTAATAATAATAATAATAATAATAATAATAATGGATATTTCAATATTTATGAGAATGATGAAGATTGGCTCGTTACCAAGGATATTGGCGTATTTTCACTTGATCCAGCTGATAGAAAAGTTTTAAAAGTAGCTGGTACGTATTTTTGTTGTTTTTTAAACTAAATTTCATTTACCAATTGTCTTTATTATTTTTTTTGTTGAATTTAGATCAACGAGATGCTGTGCAAAAGAAAACATTTACAAAGTGGTTAAATGGACATTTAAGTAAAATTGATGTAAGTATGTCTATCTAAAAAATAAATCTTTTTAATTTCTTAAAGTGATTTATTTGAAAATTGTTTCATTCCTCTTCTTTTTTTTTAAAAAGGACCATGTTGAAATAACTGATCTATTTAATGATTTACGTGATGGTCACCATCTGATGACCTTACTTGAAATATTCACTTCTAGACAAATTGTATGTAATTTATCTCGATTATTTTAAATTTATCTATAGTTTTCTTCGTTTTTTAGCCGCGAGAACGTGGTTCATCAAAATTTCATGCTTTACGAAATGTTGAAATGTGTCTCTATTGTCTAGAAAAACAACACAATGTATAAATTTCATTTTTATATCATTAGTTTTGATCTAATAGAATATTTTCAATGTTTTTTTTATAGATTCGGTTAGTCAATATTCGACCAGAAGAAATTGTTGATGGTAATCCAAAATTAACACTTGGTCTCATTTGGAGAATTATTCTTCATTTTCAAGTGAGTGTTGTATGATTTGAACACTTTTTATTTCTCTCTCTCTCTCTCTCTCTCTCTCTCTCTTTAATATTTGATGTCTATGTCTATTTAGTTTTCCGATATACAATTAAATCCACCTGATGTCATTGATAGTACTACGATAAAAACGGACATTTCAACATCAGAAAGAGAAAAATTATTAAAAATAAATAATTATGATTTATCTTATCGAAATATGTTGTTAACATGGGCAAGAAGACAGTGTGAACATTATCCAGGAATAAAAATTGATGATTTTTCAAAATCATGGAGAGATGGACGTGCATTTTTAGCAATATTACATCGGAAAAAGTACGTATGCTACAATGAAGATGTGTGTGTGAATTTTTTTAAAAAACTTCTTTTCGAATTATCCACTATTAATTGTATCTTGTTTGTATTTTAAACAAGTAAATATTTTATTTTTTTAAATAGATGGTTAGTTGATGAACACTAAAGTTTATTATGTTTATTTTAGTCCTCAATTGGTAAATATGGAACAAGCATATCGTTCGTCTAATAATTTAAATTTACAAGTAGCTTTCGATATAGCACAACAACATTATGGTATTGCCAAGTTGATTGATCCCGAAGGTAGCTAATTCATTTTTTTATTTTATTTTAATACGACTGTTTTTCTTTTTTTGAATCATTAATAGACGTTGATAATGATAATCCAGATGAAAAAAGTATTTTTTTGTACATATCCCATTTGTATAAAATTTGTCCATCCGTACCTGAACATCCATTCCAACAAAAACATGATCAAGTAAATAATTTTTGAATAACACATCAGATTATTGAAATTTATATACCTTTATCGTTTCTCATTTAGATTCATCTTGAAGGTCAACTATCCTACGAATATACGTATTTAGCGTCAGATCTTCTAAAATGGATTAAACAAAAACTTGACATATTTAACAGTGAATTATTAAATCAAAAAACGTTTTACGAATTAAAAGTAAGTTTTCAAATCTAAATTAGATTTAGTTTTCATCTTTCATTGTCTTTGTGTAGACATTCCAAAATACTCTTCAATCAATTCGACAAGATGAAATGGTCAAATATAATCGTCTTTTACAGAGAATGTATGCAATTGATTTCGAACTTCAAGTATGATTAATGAAAGTTTTTTTTTAACATTTTTAAAATTGTCTGTGCAACACTAAATCGATTGTTGTTGTTGTTGTTTTTTCTAGAAATCACATCGAGATGTTCTTCAACCCGATATTACGTCAATTAATTTTGCATGGAAAAAACTAGAAGATAGCATGGAACATACGGAGAATGAATTAACAATAATTTTAAATAGGTTTGTGAAGATACTTACAGCATTCCGAAAGTTTCGAGATTTCCAGATAAAAATTTGTAGAAAAAGTTAATCAAGTCTTCACTTCAGCAAACATTCGAACTAGTAGCCATGATTATCTGCACACAGTTACATTTTTGAACTCATTTTTAGTTCATAAACTCATACTCTTGGTTACGTCACCAGTGCATTGATTCAATGACCAGTACAATCAGTTGATTTGATTGATTACATTTTTTTGATAAGACAGAACAGCTAACAGTCGCATGTGCTGAATCCATAGATAATATACGAATAATTTGGCCATATCATAATTATGGTATGTTCTGATTTGAAATAGTTGGGAACATCTTTATGAGTATGTGATCGGATGTTTGTCATGATGAAGTTTGATACCTTGACTATCAGGTGATAATCTTGCTTTCTCATTCCATTAATAAGTAATTATACGCAATTATTGATATTGTATTGGTGACTGACGGTCTATCCTCTTTCTACATTGATCTCTTTTGTACGAGAACTGAATCAATTGTCTTAAAAAGATAGAACATAGCGTTTTGGGAGCCAACTTCCTGCATCGAATCACAATTGGCAGAGAGTCTCTGCTTGCTGTCCTTCTCTTGTTTTATAACTTTCACTCCATTTTCTTATGATGAATGTAGAACTCGTCTCCTATTACTACACCATGTATTCGCCATGTTCCTTTGGACGATCTTATCAAAAAAATTTAATCAGTCAAATCAACTCCATATCATTGCATTGGTGACGAAGCCAAGAGTATGAATTTATGAACTAAAGATAGGTTCAAAAAAACTTTTGACAAATGGCTTGACTGAATGTAACTGTGTGTGGAGATAATCATGGCTACTAGTTCGAATATTTGCTAAAGTAAAAACTTGATTAATTCTTTTTTATAAATTTTTATCTGGAAATCTCCGAACTTTTGGTATGCCGTAAGTAAATTAAATTTCGTCTGAGATTTATATTTTGTCTCTATATATTTTTTCACTGTAGATACGATCAATTAAAACCCGAAATTGATCGTTTGCATCTCGTATTAAATCAGGCAGAAAACGATATTTCCAAAATTGAACAAACGTTTGAAACAAATGTATGTTTATGTGATTGATAATACCGTTGAATTAAAATTTGTTTTGTTATTTAGCCACATATATACAATACTGATGATTCAACGAGTCATTTAACAACAATCTTAACCGATATTCAAGGTCAATTAGATACTGCGTTAAATAATTGTCAATCTTTATCTATAAATACGCAACCAAATCATCCACATCCTGATGTTATTAAATTGATCGAGAGGTACACAAAAATATTCTGATATCGAGGAAAGAGAACTATCTAAATAAATGGAATTGCTCAAATCTTTTAGCTTTTTTAACACATTCCTCGTTCTTCCTCATATAACTGATGCTTTCTTTCTTTCTAGAATTGAATTTCTCAATCGACGTGTAAATGAATTGAATATTTATCTAAGTCATTTAACTTCTGATAATATTCAACATACTTCAAAACATCAACGTCTTAGTGGTACTGGACAAACTCATAAATTATCTTCTCCAACAACAACAACAATATTAGATTCATCTACTATTATTCAAAATAAAAATAATGTTGATCTTATTGAATATTTGAATAGTTGTCTAAAATGGATCAAGCAAAAACAGGTTTGTAGAAAAACAATTCCTATATAACTCAAACAATTTAAATATTATTTTATGTTCTAGAATACGATTGATCAATTTGACTTGGGAGCTGATTTAGCAAGCACAATGACAGATACGGAACAGTGTGAAAAACTGTCAAATGCTATTGATGATTTTGAAACAAAAATTGAACAATGCAAACAAAATAGAGTATGGATAAAAATAAAATTTATCTTAAAAGAAAAACCCGGGATTTTCATCTGATCCTAAAAAACGTGTTTAAGCTAGTAGCTTCTCGAAAACTTTGATTCGTCCTTCCGAAAATAAAAACTTAGTTTAATCACTGCTGGTAATAATTGACTAAATAATCTTGGTCTTATTCATATTCGTCGTCAACAAGTTAAAGAACTGAATATTGAAGATGTCGTGAATGAATTTTTCAAAGATAAGCGTCGAAATTATTAAATAAAACTAATTTTCTCTATCCAATATTTTTCAGAAACATTTCTAAAACTTTTTTCTCTTCGGTCAAAAATCTTCTGCGTCATCTTCCGAACCTAATGTAAAAAAATGTGAAAAATATGGTGTGAAGAGAAAATGTAAGAAAAAAATTGATGCTTCATCTAATTACAGGATAAAAACGCAGAGTAGTGAAGACGAGTTTATTTTCTACCTTTTATTCGAATACAGATCGATGAGATTGACCAATGAGTACTAGCTAAGCTAAAGTATAGCCATGTAGGTATAAAAAACTGAGAATGTTGAGACTAACTGTCCACGAATCGTGGACATTGCATTGGGCTATGCCCATCCCGTAGTTTCGCCACTGTCCATGACTTTTAACTTGGTACTACACTTCTTTTATTTATGTATTTTCAGCGTTCCATTCCAATTTCTGAGCAAAATACGTATGATCGTCGTTTGTACGAATTACAAGCAGCATACGCTCATCTTAATGTAAGTAATAAAATATTTTAATTTAATTTAGTTTTACAACCGCTTATCAGTTACTAGAGACCCAAACAGAACGCATTTCTGACAGAATCAAAAGAAGGTTCTTTCTTCAGATCACGACCGATTTCAATCTTTCTCAAGGGTCTCGTCAGGTGGTTTTCTTCGAGAAAGACAGAGTTAAGGCACGACAAGCAACACAACTCCGTCCACACCGCCTCATAACACACGGTTGTTGAGGCTGTTATTAATACCTTATTCTCATCAAACAAAGAACGATAAGATAACTTTCACACGACGAGAACGAAGCACGATATCACTGTACAATGCACATATTCTGCTTCTCCATTATGTATTTCCTTTTATTCTATCAGAAATGATTCATCCTCTAAACATAAACTGTATCTAGTGACTTTCTCGAAAGAAACCACCTGCCGAGACCCTTGAGAAAGATTGAAACCGGTCATGGTATCTTCTTTTGATTCTTCCAGAAAGTAGTTTTATTTGAGCCTCTAGTAAAATTGATTAAACAGTTGTAAAACTAAACTAAATTAAAATTGTATCAAGTCGAGTTTCACATTTCATATATATTTAATAAAATATTATTTTAAATGAAAAAAGTCAATCATTTATCATTTGTCTTTCTCTAGAGTTCAATAAAGCGTTTGAGTCAAACGTTAACCGATTGGCATCGTTTTATGTCTTATTCAAATGATTTATTAAAATGGATAAGTAATGCTGAATCAAATGAAATTGATCGTGAATGGACAGATATAACGGATCGAACATTAATTAATCAATATACGCAACAAAAAAGAGTATGTATAACAAATCATATCACATTATTTGATCAAATGTGTTATCTTCTAGAATCTTGAAATATCATTAGAAGATCGTTTTAAAGATTGCGAAAGACTTGAACATTTTACACATAACATTAATCGAGAAAAGCATGCCGAAATTGAATCCATTGTACAGGTATCTATTGAAATTCACATTGAAATAATAACAATAAGAGGTCAATTATATTTTTTTGTCTGTAGGAATATTTGACCAAAATTCGTGTCGGCTTAGATCGTCTTAAATCACTTTTATTTTGTTTTAATATTCATTTAAAAAATGCTGAAGAATATAACGAGGTAAATAGTTGTTAATTAATTTGAGAATAAAATTAATTGAATAAAAAATATTATTATTCTAGTTTTTTGAACAAATTGATACAATTCGATATGAAATAAATAATGGCAATGAAATATTGTGCACATGTATGAATGAAATGACTAGTGATCAACATCATTCATATTCAAATAATCAAATTCAACAATATATTGATGATATTATTGTAAAGAAAGGATCAATTGAACAACAATATGAACATTTACATCAATGGTGTCAACTTATTAAACCATTAGATTTTCATCAACGAAAAAATATTAAAAATGCAATGGTATTATGTTCTTATAATTCAGATCAGGTAATTTTTTTTGTTTCTTATTTAAAAATAATTATTTTTCTCACTTTTCTTTTTGTTTTGTATTTTTTTTTTTTTTAGACGACAATAATGAAGGGTGAAATCGTCAATGTTGATGATTGTTCAAATGCAAATTGGTGGCTAGTTCATCGACGAAATGGTAAAAACAATCGTATACCAAGTGTTATACTCGAACTAGTACCACCAAGTCCAGAAGCCTATTTGAAACTTGATACGTATGTATTTATTAGGATTATTCATTTTTGTTTTCTGTTTATCTTTTTTTTCGTTTGTGAACGTAACAAGATAAACTCAACTTTCTTTTTTTTCTCATTTATTTTTCTTCTATCTTTCATTACGACTATTTTATTCTCTTTAATTCTAATCTTTCTATTTTTTAGTGTTCGAAAAGAATTAGACGAATTAAATCAATTTTTATTTGATATTAATGTTTGTTTGATAAAAGATGATTTACAATTGAAGATAAATCGATTATTAGAATGGGATGTTAATAAAGTAGGTTGAAATTAACTTAAATCTTCTTTCTCTTATTGAATGATATTCTTCGTATAGGCATAATGTTTAAAAGTTTTTAACTTTATTATCTTTCTACTCGTAGAAGAGAAAAAATTCTTATCAACAACACCATAGCATACATTTTTCTATAAAAGAAAAATAAACTCGAATTATTTTTAAAATTTAATATTTATTTCAATATTTTGATTTATACATAATTCATGTTTATGAGTATGAATTCTGCTGATCATTATTACATAAATACTTTTGAATATAATGATTATTATTTATTGTTAGCAACTCTGTTTTAAATATGATATACACTGGTTCTTTTTCTTTTTTCTCTTTCATCCATCGGACAGATATTGACGGTTATATAATTAATTACTAATTTATTGAAGATATTTCTACATTCATATAAACTAATTTTGCTTTTAGATACATGTACATCTAAATGAAGGAGAAAAAAAAGAAGAAGAAGAAGCGAATACCTTTTCGTTCTCTTCCTCTTCCTTATGCTCAATTTAGACAACACAGCGTAACTATCATATTAAAATTACTTAATAAGATCATATAAATGGAGTGTGCCTATCAATAAATAGTTGTTGAAATGTATCGTCTTCTTTTCTCATTTACCTCTCTTCCGTTGTCTTGTCAATATGATGATCGAACATATAAGACGACTATTGTACACATTCTCATCGAGAGAGAGAAAGATAATGACCACTCTAAGATTAATAATAAATAAATTTATATAACTTTTTACGATCTCATTTTATCATATTGTCGTTGTCGTCGTCGTCGTCGTCTTCTTCTTTAACTTCATCCTATTTACACAATTGACCTCCAGTCAAGAAAAACAAAATAATTTGTGTCTCATTTAAATAAAATTTTAATAAAAAAATTTTATTTTAAATCTTTACTAAATGGAAGACTAGATTCACGTTAATTACTACGATTATTTACAATTAAAGAACGTTTTCTGTTCTTTTAAACTTAATTTATATATAAGAAAAAAAGAATTGAGGTAAGATATTATTTTTAGAAACGAAAAAAAATATATACTGTAAGTGTAAAAAGAAAAGTAAATTCTTAACTAAAATTAACTCAGTAACATGTCGAACTGTCATCGATTTGAAATTCTTTGTCGAAAAAAAAAAGGTATTTTGACAGTAGTTATAGAATTAGCATTTACTTCTCAACAAGCTAATTGTAGTTATGATCAAGAGGTTATTTACTCGTTTTTTTTTATTAAGTATCTAAATTTTGATGGTGCTCTGAATTAATATAAAAATTCTAAATAGATGCAATAGCGTCTTTACTACTCACTCCTCCCCCAAAAAACTATACATGTTTTGATGTATGATGTAGACATATGATCTAACAATGATGAAAAATTTTTTAATTTTTCGGCGGCCACTGTGATATTCAATTTACTTTTCCATACTTATTTGAGTAAACGTGTATATAATGAATAATCATATTTGACATGTTGATGATAAATGAAAGAAGATCGGTAATATTGTTATTTTACGGATGATTGATTGATGTCCACCATAGATCATGTTCTCTCTCTCTCTTTTTCTCTTTTCTTTTTATTTTTTTCAACAATAAATTTGATTTAAACAAAAATTTTCTTTAGATGACGATGTGTATTGAAGAAAATTTGATTCAAGTTTAAAATAGAAAAACGATTCTTATGAAAAAAAGAAAGATTTTATTTATCAAAACAGACTATCTTTATTGATTTAGACTCCAGTTATTTGTCTTACATTCTGTATATCACATATTATTAGATTTGGATTGATAGTCGTAGAATATTTTTTGTTTTGTTGTTCTAAATGAGAAGAAATGAACGTCAAAAAATCTATTAGCTCGAAAGATCATGGACGATTCTGTCAAATATTAGAATTATTTTCTTATAGTAGATAAAAGTAACCAATATAGTCCTAAGGATAGGTTACAAAAAATAAAACTATAAAGAAATAATGATGTTGTCGTATTTTGAAATTATTATTCGAGGACATATAACGAGTTTGGGGAAGTTGTAAAGGGGAAAAAAGGATATTTATTTAAAAATAGACAATGAAATTGAATATTTTTCTGATAGTTCTAAATTTGTAAAGAACAGAGTTATACATACACTTGATTGATGTTCACCATAATTGATAATATCGAAAATATCGATCTAGAGAGTAAAAATTTTTATGATCAGAAAATTCTTAGAATTGAACATGTAAACAAAAACTGTTTATACTAACCACATAGTGATACTATAGAGATATTTGTTCATTGTATATGTATAGTTCTAAAGTTGAATGTGTTTGTGAGCACATACGTATTCAGCATTACACATCAATACGTAAATAGTAAAATAGTTAGCTGGTATGAATCTGCTTATATAGTTTTATTATAATAAAATTTTTATTTATATAAAATCTCTTTTGTAAAGAATACATCTGTTAACATATAATTCGACTTGCAAGTGCTATTGATTATCATATAATTTCAAAGAATCATATGATTTTAGAACAAAAAATAAAAAGAAAGAGCGTGATAGTCCAAAAAAAATCTAGTTTCACTTTTCTCTATCATGATAACCATCATTCGCATACTTACAGACACAAATGTTTCGCCGAATGTTGTTTGAAACGTCCTATTTTCAAATGGAGAAGAAAAAAACATACATAATTGTTTCAAGAATCAGACAAAAAAAACTACTACTAAACTGTTGAATATCAACAATAGTATGTTGAACAAAGAAGTTGAAAATTAATTTTAGAATAATATCTATCTAGTTTCTGAACGAAGTCTTCTATTAACTATGTCTCTTATGCTAAAATTTTCTCTTTATGATGATTAGAAACTTGTTTAATATAGTTAACCTTCGCTTTAAAAATTTATTAAATTATTTATATTTTAAATTTAAAAAATTCGTATTATTAATTTTTTTTAAAAAATTTACATATTTAAAATTTTTTTTTTTTTTTTTTTTTTTGTTTAATAAGTGTGAACGATGAGTTCTCTCTTGTTTGATTCATTTATTATTATCATTTTTCTTTTTATGATGATGATCAAGACATTAAGAAGAAATCAATTTTTTACCTTAGGAAAAATCTTTTCTTTTTTTTGCATCATACAATGACACTTATTTTCTGCTTTTTTGTCCATTTAATTAATAACAGTGAACTACGTGTTTTTTTCTCATTGTTCCAAACCTTGTCACTACATATTGTATTTTTATTTATGAATTTCTAGCGACATCATTTTTATCCTGTAACAGATTTTAGAGATGCCTATGAAATTTTTTATAGACATCAGCTGTGAAAGAGACTCTTCAGTGAAAAACTTCCTCGATGATCGTCTTTAATAGTAGAAATTAAAAATATATTTTCTGTTTTTTTTTCTAGTATCGTTCTGTGAGTGAACAAGAACGAAATGCATTATTAAATGATATTAACGAGCAGCTGGATAAAATTGTCACTAGCGAACCACGTTATACAAATTCAAACTATAGATTATTATTGAGTGAGCAATATCGTGTTCAACAACATTTTCGTAATTTAGACGATCAACTTGACATGTTAACCGGTAGGATATTAAATTTTTTCTTCTAACTTTTCATATTGTTTTTCTAATTATTTATTTTGTTTCTAATTTTTTAGAATCATCACATCATCTACCATCATCATCTCATCGTCCTATAGTTGTTATTGATGATTTAAAATCAATTGAATCAAACTTAAATCAATTGAAAACAATTTTAAAACATCGTTTAACAACAACAATACCAAAAACGTCAGATGATTTAATTTTATTATTTAACGAACATAAGGTTAGTAAACCAACTATATCTCTATATAAGTGTATATTTATATATGTGTATGGTGTGAGAGAGATATTGTTATATCAAACATCTTATTTTCTTTTTTCCTTTTTGCGTATATGAAAAAATATTATTACCAACCGAAACGAGATTAATTTTTGTGTCTAGATTATATATTGTTTTCTCGTATTGTTGTTGTTTTTTCTTGTTTTCTTCGTTATTTGAAAGCAAGAGAGTTAGAAAAAGCACAGAAAAACACTATATCTATACATATATATCGACATACACAGTTGTATTAAATAAATGAAGTATGGCTATGAACAAAAAACATATGTTTCTTTCCATATTATCACCGACATACACGATCATAAAATGATATTTATTATGAAAATAAGTCTTGAAACTAATCACTTCACACATCCACAGGATAAAAAAAAAAAAAAAAGAAATAAAAAAGAATTTTATTAGCATATCTACTATCAATGTTGATCATGATACAAATTTTTAAACAGTTAATTGAATATATTGTTGACGCCTAGAAATAATTCTAAATATTAAATTGCTTTTTTTGGGTTTTATCCTATGATTTTTCTAAATTAATAAATTTTTAGTATTCTAGACATTTTATTTTCAATTTCATATTTTGTCAAGTATTAACTTTGTATAAAACAAATGAAAGTTGATGATATTAAATTGAAGAGTAAAATCGATCAACTATACTATATCAACATGAAATAACATGTCGTGAAAGTATTTTAATAGAAACTTTGAGACAATGGAGAATAATTGCCTCCTTTTTTTCAAGACTATAAATAACTTAGTAGAAGAGAATATTAGATCGAAAAGACTTGTCATTTATCTAATGGATATTTTTATGGATACATTAACATCGATAGAATATATATGTATTTGGAAAATGTTAATGTTTGGATATATGATGAATAGAATAATTGTAAAGTGAATTTAACATTGAAAATGAACACTTTTTTTATGTTGGAATCAAAACGATAAATGACATCCGTCAACATTTTTTGAAGTCAATTAGAACGAAGAATCTTGTCTATAGAAGAAATATATATATATTTTATTCTATGGTTTTTTTATCAACAATAGAGAAAAAAAAAAAGATGAATTATTCGTCCTCAGAGAGATAACTATCGAATAGATGTTTTGTTGTTCGTGTCTTTTTCTTATTGATGATGGCCCCCCCCTCATAAAAAAAAAATGATTTATTATTGTACATTAGAAAATAAATCCAGTTTGGTGGACCTTCTTCTCTCGCTGCTATATTATCGGATAAATTCCATAAAGAAGAAAAGACAGATTAATGGTCCACAATAATCATCATCATCTGTTCTAGAGAAGATCAGTCGGATGTCACATGTACACCGATGATGGCATCATTTAACCTTCTAAAGAATGTGTCTCAATTTTTTTGTTTTTTTTTGTTTGTTTTCTATTCGCTTCTTTGAGAAAAGAAGAAGAAACAAGAGAATTTTTTTTGCATGTGTGCTATACGCGTCTATATCATTATCATTCATTCAACAAACAATCGTCGTTTTACGCCCATAGCCACAGCAGCAACAAATTATATTGTCTAATTTGTATCATCTAACGGTTGTGTTCATCATCATCATCAGCATTATTTATACAAGTGAACGAAAAAGAAATAGAGCTGAACGGAAAAAATAAAGAAAAGTAAAAAAACAACATTCATCCATAATGGCACAACATTCTGTTGCTGTTGGCAAGACATATTGTTCAGATTATCCAATTACAAATTTACGTTCATCATCACTAAAACAAACTACTGGATCACAACCATCAATATCAAATACATCTCATTATCATCATTCTTATCAATCGTCATATTCTGATCAAACAAGACAGCCACTACTAAAAGCATCAACAATTTATTATGATTCTGATTGTAATTCTTCAATTCCTCGTTATCAACGTGCATCATCGACAACAAGTTTTTGTAGTAGTTCAACATTTGATTCAAGATGTTCACAAGCATATCGAATATTACCCGTTCGTTATTCATCTGTTGAACGATCAAGTTCAACATCTAAAGTCCCAATAAGATATTCTTCTGTTGATCGTATTCTACCTAAATCAGCATCCAAATATCGTTATAGTTCTCGTCATCAACCGATTGTACGTGTTTTTCCATATAATAATAACTCGGCTGTAGCAGCTGCAGCTAATGGTATAAATCTTCATATACGTTTTGAACCAAAAAATTCTTCAATGCAGTATACCGAACATCATAATTCTCATCATCAACAGTCTCATCGACATCATAATTCTCATCATCAACAGTCTCATCGACATCATCATTCTTCTCATCATAAACATTCATATCCTGAACTACCATCATTATCATCTAATGTTCGATATTTAAATCGAGATATCGAGAGAGTAAATGTTAACAACGTCCAACAACTTCATCGTTATGAATCGTGTCCAGTTTTGAATCATTCAAAACCATCAAATATAACATATATTGAAACACGATCGATTGTACGTGGACAATCATCGGAAAATATTCATATTCCTTCGCAACAAAATTATACGAGTACAGTCGTTATCAGAGACCGTTCATTGCCATCCTTTCCTTCCAGAACAGCTACTACTACTACATCAACAAGACGTATACCATTTGACAGACGTTTATATCAACCAATTACAAAAGTTATAAGGGAAGAAGCAGAGGTAATCGAAATCAAGTGTGGATAATGGATTGTTTTTTATTCATAACACTGAATATATTAAGTTTCATGTTCGAAATCCATAAATAGAATCATATGGACATACACTCCTTGTTTTGCCCTTGGAAATTGCATGGATTTTTTTCCCGTTGTGTTTGTGGATATGATTGACGTGAGAGAGAGCGAGAGAATATGTTTGTATGTTTTTACTACTTAATCGTGTAACTAATTTTGAGTACGATAAAATATCAAAAAAAACAAATATGATAAACTGTCCATTCATTATATATGAGTTAGTATTAAGATTTTTTAAAAAACAAAAGATTTCTCACGATTCATTGTAGAGAATTTGTTTTTTGTAAAAAGTCGAAGGACAAGGGGTAAGTGTCAGTCATAGTTTCTAGTCCAGCGGTTAGTATGCATGGAAACTCTTACCAACCGCGTTCCTTTGTTTAAATTTTATTTCATTTTCTTTTCTCTTTTATCTTTCGCACTTTTTCTCTTCCATATGTAGAAGAATAGACGTTAAAATAAGATAAAAACTGATTTTTCTGACAACGAGTTTAATTACATCCAAAGTTCAATATAAATCGATTTCAAGTCCTCCTTTAATGTTGAAATTGTGCTTGTGCCAGTTGATATTGGCAGATGAATTATCTCATATTGAATCATTTCATCAATAGATTGATGACGATAGTGATTTTGACTCTAAAAAAACTTGTAACAGTATCATAACTGTTACAAAGGAGATCCCCTCTCCCCGCCGATCATTCCGTGAGTACGGTTCTGTCCGTTGATCATTCGTAGTAGCAAGCTGTATAAAGTGGATTTTTTTGTTTTAATTATAATTTACATAAAACTGTCATTTCTAATCATGGCTGTTTACCAAGAGAACAACAAAAAAGTGAAACAATGTATTTTCTTCATAGTTTTAACTTTCAATTTGGGATAAAAGTTCCATTAAGTTAAATACACATTGATATATACCATGTCTCTGAACAGTTGTTATTAATATTAGAATTAATTATTTTATTACCACTTATTTTTAATATATTTATTTGTGTCGTATTTTAATCAGTTCTGTTCTGTTTCTAAGTCTCTCTTTGTTATAAATTGAATGTAAATGATATGTTTGATATTTCTAGGATTTTGAAAATGATTTAATTACACAAGAAAATCGTATTCAACAAATTCGAAGCGTTGTACATAATTCATCATCGTCAACCGTTTCAAATGAAGTATATTCACGTGTAAATCAAGTGTCTGAACGTGTACAAGATTTAGTTGCAACATCAAAAGCCTATGTTGACAAGTACGTAAAAATATTAATAAACAAAATATTTTTTGACACTATTTTAATTGTTTTTAGACTTGAAACAGCTGAAACGGCATTCAGTTTAATCGATGAAGTTACATCTCATATAACAGAATTGGAAACACGTTTAGCTTCTCATATACCAATAACAACCGATATATTACAAATGAAACGACAATTAGATGAGTTAAAGGTATGTATGCTATAGTGATGAATTTTTTAAAATAATTGTTTCTCTCGTTATTTCACATAGGACTTAGAAGCCAATATGAGTAAAACAGAAAAACTATTGAATGATATGAAATATCAAACAAAACGTATGCCACAAACAGATGAACGTTTAAATCGAATTAGTGAACAATTATTACATCGATGGAAACAAATATGTTCAGAAATAATCAATCGGTAAGTTAAATAAAGTTGACCTGATTAAATATATTTTTGTTAGTTATAATTATTAATTTTGTTTTTGTTGTTATTTGTTTTGTTTTTTTCTTCTTCTAGACAACGTTCAATATGTCGTAGTATTGATTCATATCGTTCATTTGAACCATTATTCGATCAAGAAGAACAAATTCTTAATGAGACATCAAAACGGATACAAAATCTTGAACCAATACCAAATGTAAATGGAATTGAATCTTTGAGACGATCAGCACAATCAGTCATAGTAAAATTGAAGAAAATATTTTATATAAATATTAATGATTCGCTAAATATGAATATTTTTTCCAGGATCAATTCAAAGATATTTTAGCTCGTTCACAACAAATAGAACATATGAATGATGTTGCAGTTAAATTTATTGAAGAAGCGAAGGTAACATAGTAGTTAGATGTAATATTCTTATGTGTAGGTATATATTATCTCTGTCTATTGATCTTTAAAAAAAAAACAGTAAAAATTGATTTTGTCGAGTAGTACGTGTGTATTTTGTTAGAAATATTAATAACATTGACTGACTGACTGACTGCATGTGAACATTTATTGTTTTTTGTTTAACGATCTACACCAGATGCATGATTAGCACATTTCGAATGAGAGAGAGAGAGAGTAAGAGTGAAAGAATTTTAGGCTGTATATCCGATAAGATGACAAGTATTCTCCATCTATTCTTTATATACACTACTCATATTTTGATATTTATCTCTGTATTAGATACATGACAAAAGTTTAAGACATTTTCGAGATTCATTACGTGATTTACATCCTAGTCTTGATGCATCCATCATTAAAAGACCATATATGCCACGTGCAACATGGATTGTTCAAAATAATGTTGAAAAATTTGATAGGTAATAAACAAAAAAATAAAATTAAAAAACTAAAATGAATATTTTATTATTTAATTTAGACGTTATGCTGATCTTCTATCAATGATGTACGATTATTTAAGAAATTTTATACATGCGTACAATGCAACAAAAGAAAAATTAAATGTAAGTTAATAAAATATTGAATAATTAGAAATTTATTTTATTAAAAATGAATTCTATTTTTTCTAGTATCATTTACCAGAAGAACAAGTTGAATCGCTTATTCAATTGAATCGTGGCACATTATCATTTCGCTATACTATTTCACCTATTCCATCATCGGATGAAGAAAATGAATCTGACTATCACAAAAAACAGCAGTCTCATCGTCATCATCATCATCATCATCACCATCATCATCGTCATGTTGGCCGACAACATGAAGATAATTCATCGATTTCTTCATCTTACAATAATTATTATGATACAACAATTTCTGCTCAATCAAATATATTTATTGGTGATGCTAAATTAATTCATCCACCATCATCAAAATCATCAATTAGTTTAAAACAAGCAATTGAAAATGGATTATTTGATGTTGATAAATGGTGTTTTATTGATAAAGAAAAACAAACTTATTTAACAATGGATGATGCTGAAAAATATGGTTGGATATCAAAACAAGTAAAAGAACATTTTGAACAACCATGTGGTTTACTAAATGAAGAAGATGGTGAATTAAAATTGAAGGATGCTATACGTTTAGGATTAATAGATTTAAAAACAAATTCAATTATGAATTTAAAAACACATCATCCAATTACTGATATAAATAATTCAATGAATAATTATTTATTTACATTAAATAATGGACGAGAACGTTATTTAAATTTAGTTTATATTCGTTTAGAAACACATCCTAGACTAAAACGTTTTACAACATTAAATGGTTCATTTGAAACACGTTTAACATTAACTGATTGTTTAGAATTAAATCTAATTGATTTACAAACGGGATATTTTATTAATCCTACAAATGGTCTTACTATGCCATTAAGTGAAGCAATCAAAAAAGGTAATATTAGTTTTTGAATAAAACATAAATAAGAATATACATAAAATTATCTTTTTTCAAAGGTTTTCTTCATTCTAATATAAATGAAATTGTTTTATCTCATAAACAAGATAAAATAACATTAGCTGAAGCATTAGAATCGGGTATAATAACATCACCCAATGGTTATTATTATGATGTAACAACAAAACAACAATTAACATTAGTCGATGCATTAAAACATCGTCTCATTGAAAAACCTTACACATTATCAATGGCATGTAAGTGATGCAAGGGGGGAAATTGCGGACTTTAAAGTCCGGTAAAGTTTCCGTAAGTCCCGTCAAGTCTGCTCAAATCTAAAGTCCGCAATTTCCTCCTTGAAATGATGGCATAAAAAAAAACCATTATTTTGTAGAAAATTTTAATTTTCTTCGATTTTTTTTTTGTCTAGTTGTTAACGATATGATTGATCATCATAATCAAATATTATCATTTCGTACTGGAAAACGTTTAACATTAGCTGATGCTATTAAACGTAGTATTTTAGATGATCAAACAAAACATATTATACATCCTGTGACAAAAAAATTATTATCTCTAGCAGAAGCACAAAAAATTAATTTAATAACAGTTGATGGTCATGTCATTGATCCAAATACAAAACAAAAACAAACATTATATGATTGTGTAAGAACAAATCAAATACAATTAGTTACATTAAAACCAACATGTAAAGGAGCATTAATTAAAGATACAACAACAGCTAATAATGAACAACAACAACGTCTAATTAGTCTAGGAGAAGCAATACCAAAAGGTTTAATTGATTTAAATAAAAATTTATATATTGATAAACAACGAGAAAATGGAAATATGACAATTGATCAAGCAATTGAAATGGGTTATATTGTTGAAACATTTCAAACAGATGTTATGAAAGATTCAGGATTAATTGATCAAAATAATAAACCATTAAGTGTTCTAGAAGGAATTAGACAAGGTAGGATGGATTAATATTTTATTGCATGATTTAATAGAGAATGATGAAAAAAACAAATATCAATGGTTTGTTTAAAAAGAAATAATAATAATAATAATAATAATAATAATAATAGTTTCAATTCATCTAGACAGATTGTATTATTTGAAAAATAGAATTTATTTACTGGATGATTGCTCGAGATGGATATCAACTAAATTATTATTGAATAAAAAGAAATATTTACCTGTAGTAAAAATAGAATAATTAAAAACTGATCAAAATCTCTTGTTGACATCTGAGAGAAATTCTTTTAGTCAAATTGTTCGTATTTGAGAAAATATGTCATTCTTTCTTCTTCTAATCCTTGACAATTTTTTTAGTATAGAACTTCTTTTTTTCTTGGGCTCTTATCATAAAATATCAAGATTTATTCTTGTGGGACGTGTTCTACAAACAATAAAACACATACGCTTTCTCTCTGTATGTCGTTTAATTTAATTGATAATTGTACCTACGAGTACGATAATTAGATAGTTGTTTGCCTAGTTCACCATTCAAATTATTTGTATATTTTTTTTTTTTTTTTGTTTTATTAAAATAAACATTCTTGTTTATTGTGTGTCTCGGTTCTATTTTTAGGTTTTTTTTATTTTATTTTTTGTTTTTATATTCTAATCATCTGCTAACAACGAGAAGCAATTATTCAGCGTTTCTTTTTGTTTCGTTTCTTGTTTGATGGAGGATGAATATTGATGATAAGGGGAGATGAAAGTATTTTGATCAAGCAAATGATAACAACTATTCATACATATATTAAAAAGAGAAAGAAAAATAGAAGAGTAGAAAAGCAGTGATCCATGATTAAAGACACCATCATACTTGTGATAGTCATCTGTATACAAACGAGAAAGAAATATCTTTCCTTATATTCACACTAATTTTCCTCAGTGCACACCTGTTATGCTTTGTTTAACAAAAAAAGAAAAAAGAGAAGAGGAAGATGAAAAAAAAAATTGATTTATTTTTGGAAATAAAATATAGTGGGTAAGTGTGAAGACATGACAATATCATTTTCTTAGTCGATTTATGGAAGTAACAATTTGTATTTATGTTCTCAAATAATATAGATGTTAAATGATACTATAATTATCTTTATATACAAAATGTATCCACTTATTTTGAGTATTCTTTTACTATCAAACTATTTGCAGATTATATACATTGACATGATGCTCATTTAATTTATATGACTATGTTATTTTTAAAATAAGTCTTAGATAAATAGTGATCAAAAGATTTTACTCTAAGATTTTTGATTTTCTTGAAAAGTAACGTTTAAACAGTAGAAAAGACCATTTACTTTCAGCTGGTAACATCTGTTTTGATTGGCACCAGCCTGTTAAAAAATGTCATCTATTTTATTAGAGATAAATCATGTGATGACAAAATTTTGATCTTTTCTTCTTTTTTTTTTTTTTCTTTTCAAAAATTTTTCCAGTACTTGTAAATAATCTTTGAAGTACTTGATAACTCTCTTAAAGTAGGTATATATATCTCTTCTTTTTTTTTTTCATCTGTCAACATATTTCAATATTTATGATGTGATATAATTTTATGATATATGTGTCAATTGTCTAATATACGTCTTTTGTGGTTGTCATTGTCGTTCATAAGGTCGATATGATAATTAGTTTTCTTTCTACCTGCTGCGTTGTTGGACGATAACATATCTCTAACAAACAAGGTTAATATTTGTAGAAAAAACGATTAAAATGAACAAGGTCAATTGTAAAAAAAAAAAAAACTAAAACTCTTTTTAAAGTAAAAATCAGTCATTTATATGTAGAACGTGGTGTTTATTCAGTCAACAACATCATTGTATATTGTTCGAGCCTATTACAGACAAGACGACAATGAATTATTTTTTTGTATAACAGATTGTCCTTGCATTTTTGTTCTTTCTCTTCATATTAAATAAGATCTATGTTTTTTATTTATTATGTTTCCTATTAACCATTTATTTATCCGAGATGAGAGAAGTCTTAGATATCAATAGGTATCGATACTACTTTAATAGTGAAGTGTCTGCAAATGAAAGAGAAGCTGCACAAGATATACTTACTCATTTGAATATTTTGATATATATATTTTCTTTTTTCGTCCTTGATTTATTAACGACCTTCTCTAGCATCAATTCTGCTTTTAAATTAGATTCAAATTGTTCTATTCAATAGAAAAGTTCTCTTTGATAATATTCTTTTTCTTTCCGTTACTTTTTCTCTAAAACTTATTTTAAATGTTTGACATTAGGCATAGACAATTTATGTTGACGAAAACTCAAAGATATCTCATTCTAGTAAAACTGATAAAGAGAGAATCATATGGAGATGAAACAGATTTGGCTTGAATTATTTTGCAGATGAATTAAAGAAAAACCTTTTTTTTTTGCAGGTTACTTGTAATCATAACTTTATGTCGAATATAAAATAGTTCTGCTCAGATTCTCTTTGTTACTGAGAAAGGAAGCATTTTGTTTGTAAAGTAACCATAAATAGTTTCAGTATAGAGACATGTTTCTATATGTCGATTGGTGCGAACTTCGTCTTTATTGGTGTAAATCATGAAAAAAATCCGACGTTCGACGATTGGTTAAAAATGGAAAAAGTCCACATTTTTTGCGTACGCTTTCCATCCATGGTAGCAATCTTAGTGTCAAAAGTTATTAAGAATTTAAGTATAAAGTTACAATCTTTCTTCCTCGGAGCAATCAACAAGGAACCGGTTTTTACAAAATATATCTCACATTTCAGCAACGGAGCGGAGCGAACCTGAGCAGAAAAATTTTGTATTAATCATGAAGTTATAATTATAAGTAATCTGCAAAAAAAAAATTTTCTTCAACGTGTCTACAAAAAAAACTCCAGCCAAATTTGTTTCGACTTCAAACGATTGTCATTTATAGGTCAACCATCGGACATTTACCTCACTAAAGTGAGACGAAGTTTTATTTTGTTAGAAAAACGTTTAAAATTTGTAGTAGTAGTGGTAGTAGTAATAGTAGTATTTATTTATTCACAAAAAGTGAGAGTCATCAAAGGTCCCCGACCTATAATAACAATGACTCGAGCCAACAGAACACACCAACAAAAGAAACTATACATAGAAAAAGAAAAAAAAAAGAAATAAATTAGTGTACGAAACAGGGAGATAAGAAAAAAAGATGAATAATATTTTTAAGCAAAGCTAAAGTGTTTTCAATTAGAGACCAACTGTATTACTTAGATCGATAGATGGAACTTTCAATTAAATTTATCTACTAATTTAAAGATATTCATTTTTAGTCGTTTTTCAATGAGCAGATTCTGTTTTAATATCGTGTGCCTAGTGTATGTCAATGGAAAAAGTGTAACAGAAAGGTATTTTCAACTAAAGCAATAAATAAAAAAATTGCGTGATATTTCATTTAGAAGAGATAAGACCCATCCTGTAAGATTGATTAATGTCTATGAAGAATTTCTTTTTGTACATCAATATCTTTAAATTTCTTTAGAAATTGTGTAGAAGATTGAGTTGTCATATATGTGATAGAGTTTAAGACTCTAAACAACTTGATCACTTGGTAGAACATCAAAATTGACTTCTGAGAGATAATAAAAAATTATTTCTGTTTAATTTGCTCGTACTGTACTGTTTATAACTATCGTAGTGAAATACGTTGACTAATCAAAAGTGTCCTCAACTGGAAAAATGATGACCAATTCATTTATAATTATAGTAAAAAGTAATTAGTTTTAATTAACGCTAATGAGTTTTCAAAAAAATTTTGTTTTTTCAATTAGTAAATAATTAAGAGTCAGATCTATTGTCTTGTTTAATTTCACTATTCTACGATTAATCTATCTGAAATAAATATAAAAAATTCAAAAATAGATTTTTATACAACAGCGGGTCATTTATTTAATAATTTTATTCTCTTCATTAAGTCAGTTTTTAAAAAAGTAAAATACAGGCGATTATTTACAATTAAATCTAGAATTGTTTTGACTCTAGCTGGCTCTAAATTGTACAAATGTGCAAAAATTTCAAAGAATATCTTCGTCATTCTCTATTATTCACTCTATTTTGAAAATTATTTTAATTTTTAATTAATTTTTTTTTTTGTTGTTATTGTTTTGAATTTATAAGAGAATAAATGTCTACTCTAGCAGAACATTGATAGTAAAAATTTAAATGTTAAGAATACGTTTGTTTCCACTTATTTTTAAGTATGTAATTTGAATGTGCACATTGCACTTTTCCTCTCTTTCTTGAATATTTTTTTTTTGTTGCCTCTATACACATACATATTAAAATCGGTTATTTAATCTGTTTAACCTTTTTTAAGTTGAACTTTTCTTTATATAATCCATCTGCTTAGAAATAATACTTATACATACACATATGCCATATTTATCTGAAAAGACGTTAAACTGTACAATGAATATTATTTTTATTATTTTTATTTTTTGTATCTTGAAGGAAGATAATAGAAGATTGATTATAAAATGATAAATGTGTGTGAGCCATTGATGGCGTAATAAAAGTAATTTGTCATGAGAACGATGTATTCAAGTTAAGAAGCTTAAAGGTTTAGTTATAAAAAAGAAAAAAGAAAAGAAGTCTTTTAATGTTGGATATGCCGTCTTAGATTTAGAAGCAATCAATTGCTCATTTGTTAATCAATAAAAATATGAAATAATTCAAGTTTAGTTGAATAAAATATAATAATCGTCTATAAGAAATGTTTGTATGATCATTATTAGTTAGTATATTGATGAAAAATGAAAAAAAGTATTTGTTTTAAGTTAATTTCTTACTTGACGTTTGACTTTTTTGTCTGTAGAGATATATAAACTCGTTATTGTCAGTTAAATAAATATGTATCACATAAAAAAAAGACTAACTGTCAATATTAGACACATAAGGATAACGTATGAGTTTGTATGCATCTCTTTCAACACAATCCCATGAATATGATTTATTAATGTTTTCGTATTATTCACAAGACGCTGCTGTCATCAGACAGTGGAAGAAATAACACATTTTTATTGCAAAACAGCCACATTTTCTATTATCAGATTAGTGTCTTTTTTCCCTAGATTTATTCCAGTTCTTCTATTTTATTACTTTGCAAGGTACACACGCACACACACACGTTTTCTCTTTTATATATTTCTATTTTTACGCAATGTGGTTAAGATAATCTGTATATAATCGCCCTACAATTATTATTAGACATAATATCCAGCTAAATATTCGATACACAATATTTCATTTTGTTGTCAAAAACATGACAAGGATTTTTTGTTCTATGTGTGTGTGTTTTGTGTGTTACATTGTGAAAATTGTTTTCAAATCAAATAACAGCAAAGCAGAAACGGACTGTTGACACAGTAAATAATCATCTCATTTGCTCTTCATTGTTTGTTTTGTATTATCGTTAAGTGTTAATAGGATGAAAATATAGTAATCAATGAAGTTAGTCTGCTGCATACTATACACTCACGGCTAATTGCCTATAAAAGCGTTGCTCGATTTTCTTCTTCGTTTTTTTTTTTGCTTTACACTTACGAATGTCATACAAAAGAAAAGTTTGAATAACTGCTAACTGAGCTATTTTAATATGTTCAAAATATTGCAACAATAAATTGTTACCTTTTTCTCTGCATCAGGACTTTGATTTATACAAAATTTATAGAAATTACTAGACAATGGTAGTTTTGTTTAAAACTCTCACATAATTTTATTAATTTGTCACTGTAATGATGCATAGAATAAAAACTTCTAAGATTTTAATATTATGCAATTACATTGATGAGTGATCGAACTGGATTTTCACAGAGATATTAGATTAAAGTTTATTTAGAGATCAATATTAATCCGTAATATGATCTCTAATTTTTTATTAACTGTTTCTCTTGTTGATTTAAGGATAATACTCTAGATGTACAATGATAAAAATGTTTGTGTATCTATTTTATGCTCATAAATTTTGAATCAAAATGTTGTTTGTATGAGCTAAAGAACGGCTATTTTTAAAAAAGAGCTTTAAATATATATATATTATGATAGATCAACTATTCTAAAGAGACCAATAAAAATTTATTTTTTCTTATCTCAGTTTTATGAATAATCTAGTTGAGTCAGAGGGTTGACTTGTTCTAAAAATTCCATTTTTAAATATCTGAATCTAAAATTTTTCAAATATTTTATCAGTTTTATCTATTTTATAGAGATTACAGATCCATTTTTCTCATTTTGAACAAAAAATATAATGAATCATATTTATCAGAAGACCATTCACATAAATCACTTGTTCTTCCAATATCGACAGCATATTACTGATAGTATAAGAATTCCACTGAACAGTCTAAACCAATCATTTTATTGTCGACTTTTTTCACTAACAATATGTGATAATGATGATTACTAAAAAAATTATTTATGATAGTTTGATAATTTTGTTTCCGAATGTAATCTTATATACAATGTGGAGTAAGTGAGATTGATAAAAATGATAAATGTAGAGAAAAAAAACAACACGAAAATATTTGTAGTTGGTCACGGATGGACAAATATCTCATAAATGTTTATAGCAGTTCGAAGGTGTCTACTCGCCGACTATATAATTCATTGATGAGATCTTTTCACTTCACTTCTTTGGTTTTTCCTGTGAAGGTAAAACATGACGTGGACATAATCTGCTGTCTTTTCTCATTTAGAGAGAATTAAACCAATACAGTGCATTTATTCTTTCTCTTCTAGGAACGACTTGATCTCTTTTCTCCCTCTGTTCTTTAATTTGGGAGTTTTTTTTTTTTTCATACAAAGAGAGACAGTGAAAAGAACGCGTTTGTTACTATGACCGAGCATGAACTTTTTTAAGTGTTGGATGTTCAAATATGTCAATACAAGGAGACAATAAGATCGTAAAACGAGTAGATGAGAGACGCATTTACACATATAGTGAGCAATCGAAACTATTTATTCGCACTGACATAGAAAAAAAAACACGAAAAAAAAAAAAAGAGTTCATTATATGCATACTCATGAAAACTGTAACTCACTCACCTAGAAGTAGTCACTTAAATAGAAATGGAAAACGATGCATGTCAGAAAGTGTTTTGATGCGTCTGTATGTTATTAACAGTATACTGTACACAATAACGATCGAAACTACTATGCATGTCTTCTTGGATAGCATTAAATTTGATTTGAGTTGACTTAATTACGGAATATAAAGCCAGTTACAGAAATGTCTATTCCCACAGGAGGGTTTGAGGCATAACATTCCATGTACGATTTTGTACTACTTGTATAACATGTTATACTGTTTAAATAAACTTTTTTTCACCTACAAAAACGCAATTTTTTCCCATTTTGCAAACAAAACTGAATAAAAAACTATCAAAAAATGTACCATCATCTCATTTTATCAATTGAGGCATCGTGTGTCAAAAGTGTCATAGGATAGATGCTCCTGGGTAGCTAAGAATATCAACTACTAGAACCCTTGATCTCAATTTGTTAGTTGAATAAACAGTGTCACAAATGTCGGCCTGGCTTTGTGCCAAAAAATCAAAATATTGAATATTCTCTATTCTTAGAAATGTATACTTTCTTTGTTCATTTTTTTCAATTCACTTGATGCATAAATTTAATAAACCTGTTTTAATTGAAAAAAAGAAACGACGACTGTCAATTGTTATTTACCTATTCATGCTCAATTTAACGCTTTTCATAGAGTGTCTACTGTTTTCACCGCTCAACAACGTGAGAGAGACTTCATATATACAATCTATTCATACACTACATCGTCCACTTGTACTCTTTTTTTTTTTTTATACAGTAATTTTATATGGATAAAACAAAAAGAAAGTTACAAAAATAGAGGGTACAGTATCTTTGTCACATTTGCACAAATTTCTTTTTCCTTCCTTTTCTCACATTCATGTTTGTGTATGTATATGGGTCTATCTGTATACGCTGATTCATTCAGTTTGTGGTAAAATACGAAGTTTAAAAAAAAAAGAAAAATATTTACGTCATATATTGTGTATGTGTCAAATAGATGAACTTAGAGGGTCATATAATTTTGAATAAGCTAATAATAATACATATCCATAATTGAAATAAAAAATTTTCATTCTTTTTTTTTATCGTACATTGAGCGAGAAAAGGTTTTGTTCTTTTATGCAAATTGAAAATTTATTAAAGGTAAAAAGACGCAATCGTTCGATATAAAGTTGTATTTAATAAAAAAAGAAATCTATAAGATATCTTTACATACAGAGAGAATGAGAGAGAGAGAGAGAGAAGAGAGAGAGAGAAAAAAACGAAAGAAAAAGACTATGCGTACATGTATACGTGCACATCGGCATCATGCTGTTATATAAGAAAGATGGAAAAACATTCTTTGATTATCGATAAGTTTCGAAACTTGAAAAGAAATCAAAACTACTAACGCACGTGCCTGAAAAATAAATGTACATGTTAGATTGTCTGATCATTCTTATCTGATGGACTAAGCAAGATTGCTTATCGTCGCATCCTTAACTGTTTTCTTTTATTCTGTTGATATGTCGTGACTGTTCAGCAAATTGAACTTTTTTCAATATCTTTTTTACCAAATGTAAAACGCTTTAAAGACTTTAGCCCAGAAAATGAAACACAACAAAACAATTTGTTTCTCACGATCTAGTACGATGAGACTTTTTCCTTCACGCAAACATCAAATCATTTCTTTTCTAGTGGGAAATTGATAAAGCAAGCTGTTAACAATTAGTTATTCCTAATCATTGGTAAAAGCGATTATAAATAGTTAGAGAAGTTTTGTACAAAAAAATATAAATAAAACGTTTTTGGTTGATAGCTATTGTAGCAGAGTAAAGGATGTAGGTCCCTGAAGCATCATCACTCTGTCTTAAATCTCGACCGTGTTTTCAATATCAGTTCATTCGTTTCTCGTTTTTGCTGGTGTAATTAATCGAAACTGGACTTTTGGTAACAGTTTCCTAAGCAATGGAAAGATGAGAAATATCAATAAAAAGATGTCAATATTTTTCTGTTTTTCGTTTTTAGGGTATATTGATTTACCCCAAGGGACAGTTAAAGATCCATTAACTGATAGTTTATATACATTTTCTGAAGGTGTTTTCAAAGATATAATAACATTAGAAGGTGCTCAAACGTTAAGCGATTTACAAGGTTCAATAACATCAGAGACTTATATTACTTCTTACATTATAACTACTGGCAGTAGTGGAAATACTGGCTCAACAACACTTAACAATGGGCTCAATAATTCAAAAACAACTACAAATCAATCTTCGAATGACGAACAACAATTAGCATCTCCTACAAGTGGTAAACGTGTTCGTTTTGTTTTGCAACCAGCTCCAGATGTTGTCTACATAGACGATCGTGAAGATAAAACAACATCAAAACATTCCTCAATAATTATAACCGGTAGTGAAAACGTTTATTCAATACCATCCAAAATAATGTCTTCCAGTACAACAACTAAAACAGCAACACATCGTTCACCATCACGTACAAGCATACCACCTCTTTTGAATATGTCATTTGTTGATGCGGTCAATAAAAAATATCTCGATTTGTCAACTGGTCGTTTTTCTTTTCTTTCCTCTTCTTCTTCCTATTCTCCAACAATTGGCGATGGTAGTAATAGAGCAAATAGCAGTGGCGGCGGCCTGAAACAAAAAAATTATCAAGAAAATGAATATAATTTTTCTTCTTCTTCTTCTCATTCTCCCCAACAAAAAAGTATTCATTCGTTGAATAATATCGATAACGATTCATCATCATTCAGTAACACGACTAATAGAGAACAACAACAAACAACAATAACATTGTCATTAAAACAAGCTATTGATCAACAAATATTAAATCCTCATTCAGCTTATATCGTCGATACCTTAGAAAAAAAAAATTATAATTTAGATGATGCATATCAGCAAGGACTAATAATGGCTTCAACAACGGATACATCTCATACGCATGTTATTGATAGAAAAAATCAATCAAAACCATATGAATTAGGTGATGCATTAAAATTAGGAATTTTAAAATTAGGTGATGCATCATTATCTCAATCATATAATATTATCTCGAAAACAGAATCATTAATTATATCAAGTGTCTATGATCATAAGTTAGCAACATACATTGAACCAAATCAAGCTATAAAAACAAAAATATTGGATCCATATCATGGACTATATCATAATACGGCAACTAACGAAGCAATATCCATTGATGATGCCATGAATAAAGGCTTTATTCTTGTTCAACCGCAAGTATCATCACCATCGTCAGCATCGGCATCATCGAGACATGGGAGTGATAAATATGTTATATCGACTAGTCTCATTAGAGAAACACGTTCTTATCATCTATTAGGTGAGTCAATTTAGTTCTATGATATATACGTGCACTGATATCTATTTAAATGTTGTGATATGGTACGAATTATTACTTGAAATAGTCAATTAGCTGTATCTATCTAATTTGAAATTTAAATTCATTGACTAGCTATAGAAAGCAAAGTCTTTTATTCTTAAATACTACTCGTACGAAAGAGAAGGTTCTGTACTTATACTATATTGCGTACTATAGATTTTACCGATGATTTCAACGCTTTATAATAGAATAAAATCTTTTTAAAAGCTATTCAAAAAATTTTTTTTAAGGCGTTATTGATCATGTTAATAATAAAGAATTAACTGTACAAGAAGCAATTCGATCTGGTATACTCGACAAACAAGGTGGACAGTATATAAATAAAGTAACAGGTGAAATATTTTCAATAAGCGAAGCTATTTTACATGGACACATTCGTGCACAACCATTACCTGTTGTTAATAATGATAATGTGTCAATTGATGGTGTGCACTCATCAAGTGGTACACAGTCAACATCGTCATTACATAAACGTGGAGCAGTTAAAGAAACAAAAACTTATACATTGATAAGTGCCATACATCCAAGAACCAAACGAGAAATACCCATTCGACAAGCGATTGACGAAGGAATTATTGATCATGCCAAAGGATTTTATGTTGATACGATTAAAAATGAAACATTACCAATTAGTATTGCTATTGAAAAAGGACTTATATTTACAGAATTAATCGATCAACATGGAAGAAGATTTATTAAATCATTAATTATTGAAGAAGTAAGATAAATGTTTCTTGTAAAATATTTTCGGTCAACGATGAATTTCACATGATATATTTTATTTTGTAGGTGATTGATCCACTGACAAAGCGCCGTCTCGGTGTTAATGAAGCAATTCAATCGGGTTTATTGAATCCCACTGTGACAACATACTATCATCCAATAACAAAAAAACATTTAACAATATTAGAAGCATATGAACAAGAATTAATTATCGGTAAATTTCATGATAATGTTCCATCATCATTTACCACCGGAAATGAACATCGTGAACAAGTATTTTATTTAATCACCGGTATTACCGATGTAAGAACACATCGAACTTATACACTACAAGAAGGTCAGTTTTTTTTACTCCTTAGTCTTTGATTATATTTGGAATCTGTACTTTTCTTTTAGGTATTCAACATAAACTATTTGATCATAAGAAAGGTGTTTATATTCATCCGTTGACAAATGAAGAAATAAATATTGGTGATGCTGTTAAAAAAGGTATTATTCAAGTAAAAGCGGTCTCTTCTGAAATAGCATTTATGACCGATGGTACGGATAAAAATCGTCGGGCTGCCTACATAAGTCAGCTACCGTATACCGATTCGTCTACTCACGATAGTCGTAGTAAATTATCGATACGTATTGAATCGAATGCTCGTCCTCGTACACCATATGAAATAAACGAATACGAAACATTACAAGAGAGTGGTGGACGCAAAGAAAATGATGTTATTGAAATTGCTTCGATTAATCGTATTCCACGTAATCATGCTCAACGTCGTACACATCATTCAACACAAGAAGAAATTATTGAACAATATACAACAAATATAACGGATAGACAAGTAATTATCGATCGTTCACAACGATCAAAATCTCGTGAAAGACCAAAACGTATTGAAGAAGTTGTTATCGATGATACAGGACGTCGTGGAAAAACCATCGATATTAAAGATGATAAATATACGTTACATCGTGAAATTGTTATTGATGGTGATAGAAGAGTACCAACAGTACCTAAACGTCCACCACCAAAAGATTATCTTGTTATTAACGGTTCAACTAAACATGATGAGAGAGAAGTAATAAAATTGATACCAACACCACAACGACCAATACAGCCAACTCAATCGGTACGTCCATTGACAATTGATGATCGAGAAGGAGAATCAAAACGAATTCATCACGGTGAGATTCATATTGATGAACATTATCACAATTATCAGAAGAAACCATCAACAATAACAACAACAAAAGAAGTCATTGATATTACTGATCACGTTCCACATAAACCCATACGACCAGTAACAACAACTGGTAAGTATGGGGCTTTATGACATATCACTACCATGTATCAATATGTAAAGTATTTTTTACTATTAAGTATTTTTTCTCGAGGATCGATTAAGTTGACCTCTAGTTATCAATTTCTATTTCTATTTGCGTGACACTGGTATTCTATCGATATAGTTTCTATTATTATTTAAGGAAGAACAGAGACAACCACAAGAACAGATGCATGGTTGAAATCAATCGAAAATCAGCAACCATCGACAATTGTCGATTACGATGAAAATCAATCGTGGTCCGAAGAAGAATGGGAACAATGGTATTGTCTAATGATGGTTAAAGGTCAACCCTATCGTGTTGTGTGGGTTATGAATACATTAACGGGCGATAGATTACCATTATCAAATGCTTTGCAACGTGGACTTGTCGATACTAAACAACGTTTATTTTTTGATCAAAAATTAGGAAAATCTTATACATTTGAACAAGCAGTTGAATTAGGTTAGTATAGACTATGTGTATATATTTCATCTTTCTAATTCGTATTCGCATATTAATAGGTTATATGGGTATTGAACCCGATACAGCTTCATTACCATTAAGAGTTGACACAATTGATTATATGATTCATTGGGTATTAGAACCATCTACCAAAAGACGAATATTTCCTCGTCAAGCAATTAAAAAACATATATTAGATGTAAAAAATTTAAGATACGTAAATCCGTATAATAATTCAAATGTGTCTATTCATGAAGCTATTCATATGAAATTTATTGGTGCAACAGAATACGGTTCACAATCAGATTCCATCACTGTACAAATAAATGGTCAGTCATACGTTATTAAATGGGTCTATGATACAAGAAATATGAAAAAATTTTTACCACGTGAAGCATTAAAATTAGGCTTATTAGATATACAATTGAATGAATATCGTAAATTTGATACCAATGATATAATGACAATTTTAGATGCTATTCAAGCTGGTTATATTAAATGTACAGATGACGATTCAAGTTCAGAGGGCTCAATCAAACCCCCATCAATTATTTCAATAGATGAAGATGAATTAACAATAGCAACAAAAACGGCTACATACGTTATTACCAGTGTTATACATCCAGTGACACAAAAAGAAATTAAAGTTTCAGAAGCTATTGAATTAGGAATATTAGATAAAGAAACAGGTATGTAAAAGATTTTAGATTAGTTCTATTTAAATCTAAAAGATATTGAATAGAACTCCTCTTATATGTGTATGGTCAAAAATGCATTTCCAGTTGAAAAAATATTGAGTGTTGGATAACTAGTTCTGACGTAACCGTCATAAATCAGATTCTTGAATTATGACATTTAGTTTTATTTATCTACTCTGTATCATCATCGTATCTCCTTTGTCATTCAATTATAGTTCGAAAAATCAACATGGAAATAAGTAGGTTTTTTATATTTGAATATTTTCAAATGTTTGCGTGTCTACGGGAAATAAGCCACTTATTCTATTTTTTCTATTTGTTAATGAGATGGTTTCTTTTAGTCTCGTTCTCATTTTGACGAATACATACATTTAGACGTTAGTTGTACGAAGGGATATGATTAACTTGTACTATAGTATTATTCTTTCTCTTTTCTCCCTCCTCCAACATTCTTTTGTTTGATCTCATTTGTTTATCTGTTTATTCAATCTGTTTTTCCTGGTGGTTGTTGTTTTTATAATATTTCTATGCTTGATCTATTTCCGGTTACATATATACACACACACAAACACACATAGAAAGAAGTGCTTTATTGCTTTTGTTTTTTTCATTGCTTATGTGGATACAAAGCAAGATATTAAGAAGAAGAGAAAAAGGTTTTTTTAGAATAACAGTTGAAATACACTTATACGTGCACATACAGTTACAAAAAGGGAAATATTAATCTTTATCTTTATCAAAAGAAACATATGTAAAAATAATAGAACTACAAGATGGAGAAACGATCTAGTTCTAAATTACTGGAATAGGGGCTACTAAGCATGTTATCTCTCTGAAATATCAGCAAACACAAGTCTTACTGACTTTATAAGCTTCTGGATTTGGGTGTTTTTGTTTCCTTTTTCTCGTTTATGGGCACAATACATTAATGTTACATTACATTTTTTTCTTTACAATTATTATAATCACGTCTCCTTACCAGTCGTTGAAATAAAATGAACAATAGAGAACCTTGATATTTCAACACATATGTCACCATTCTGTCTTTATCTAAGAAAAATCTGCTGCTGATGAGCAGTTTTAGCGTAGAACAGAGCAGATATCAGAGGATCTTGATAGAAGCAACTATGCTAAGCCAATGAAAATGCTAAAAAAATGCACACACAAATAAACTAATTTTGACTGATCGATGTACAAAGTGATTAATATGCAAAACAAGTGCTTCCATATATGTTTTTACAAATCAGGAGATATACCGGTGTGCTCCTGCGAGAATAAAAATGATCGTATCTATCGCTAGAGACAAATTACATAAGACTAATAATTGAGATAAATGAACAATGGGAATAAAAAACTAGCTATTTTAAATTAACAGATGTCTAAAAACACTTTTCCGCCTTTTGAGACTAATATCACAGACAAAATAAGAGGTATTTGTACCAATAAACGTCAAATGTTTTGAATATTTTGTGATGTATTTGTGGTTTAGATAATGGCACAGTCTGTATTTTTCATATTCTCCGTCGCATGTCTATCACGCACTGAATATGATCATATACAGACAATTATCAAGATTTTTATTGTATCCACATCATTTTTAACTGTAGGTTATAGACCAATTATTGAGTCTGGTGACAGTGTAGCGGATACACATGCTCATTTTGACGATTATGTTTCACACATAAACACACAATGGCATTATTGAGCCGTTTATTGAAGCATGTTTAATTACACAAATTATGATGCGTATATTTTTTTTAATATATATTTTAAATAGATTTTCTTTTATTGTAGGCAGTTATCGTGATTTAAATACAAATGTAACATACGAATTAGCAGAAGCAATTAATGAAGGTCTCGTTTATGCCACCATAATTGAAACAAAAGAAGATACAGAAATGTCAACTTCATCTCTACAAGAAATTATTAAAAAATTTATCGTTAAAAGTGTAGCAATTGATAGTGAATCAACAGAAAAAATTGGTGGTTTAGAAGCACAAGCTGTAGGAATACTGAATTATGCACAAGGTGTTTATCACGATAGAAAATTTGGAGTTAAAATTCCACTAGGTAAGATATTGTTGTTGTTTTTCAACATTAAATTTTACAAATTTAATTTTAATATCATTGATTTTAGATAAAGCCATTGAAAAGAAATTACTTGATGTTGAATTAGTTAGCCAGAAAAAATTTGAAGAATATGATTTAGAATTAATAACGGATACAATAACAGAAAAACGTATAACATTGTATAAAATACACGGTGTGAGAAATAATGTATTAGATCGAATGGAATCTGGAGCTGTGGCTGTTAAAGGACAAATGATTGATACAGAAGCAAAAACTTACACGGATTTTTCAACAGGCGAATCGATGTCGATACAAGAAGCAGTCAATAGAAATTTAATACAAGCAAAAATAAGTGAACATGTTGAGAGAAAACCACTTGGTTTATCAATGCAAAATGCCATACGTTTAGGATTTTATACAGCTGAAACAGGTTTGTAGTAATAACAAAATAAAAGATGTAGAATCAAATATGTTCATATTTTATTGGTTTTTTATTTTAGGAACATTCCGTGATCCGGCCACTGAACAATACTTGACATTAAGCGAAGCCATTGACCATGGACACATTCATCCGAATGGTGTAGCCTTTGCTGATAGTGAGCGTGGACCAATCAACTTGTACGAAGCGATAAGTTTAGGTTTATGTAATGTTCGTGAGGGTGGAAAATTGAATTCTGCTAAAATAAAACTATTTAATGCTAAATTAGTTGAACCAAAATTACATCGTATGAATGTTGAAGATGCTATACGATGTGGATTATTAAATTTACGTACAGGTTTATATAAACATCCACATAGTGGCGAACAATTAAGTTTAAAAGAAGCAATACAGCGAGGTTTAATAGACGGGCAATCAACAGTTATCGAACATCCATCAAATGGACAGTATATGACATTGAAACAAGCATTAGAAGGCACAAGAATTGATCAAGAAGGTCAAGTAGTTGATTTATATTCACAAAAAATTATAACAACATTAGAATTAGCATTTAATCATCGAAAATTATTTTCAATGTTTGATGTGAATGCAGGTGAAATATTTATACCGTCACAAAATGAATCGATTGGATTTGAAAAAGCGATAAGGAAAAATTTATTAGATAATAAAATAAAATTATTTGATCCAAAAACTAATAAAGAATATACGATACAAGATGCTATTGAACGAGGATTAGTCGATCATGAAAGTGGATTGATTTATGATCCACGTTCAAGACAACAATATTCCATACGTGAAGCAATTCGTCATGGTTTGATAGCAGTTGTTGGTGCGCCTTTAGTACCAATTAAAGCCGATCATGAAACAGTAGCTGCTAAAATAACATCAAGAAAACACCGTCGACATTCATTAGCTAAAAGTTCATTACATTATGATTATAACAGTGCACCAGATTCAGCCGATGAAGATTCTTTGTCAGCAGGTGGACACGGATGGCATAAAGTAAAACCAACAAGACAACATAAAAGCAGAGATAACAGTCCATTCAGTGGCACAAGAAGACGAACAGGATCATCACCGAGTGCTGCTGAACGATCGAAATTATCAAAATTTTCCACAACATGTCGAGATGATGATTGGACAACACCAAAACGTTTTGATAGAAGGGACGATGATGATGAAGACGATTATTTTTCACGAAGACATTTTCATACTGCTGTTGGTGATGATACATTTGTCTCAAGCAGTAGTAGAACACAAAGTGGTGGTGGTACAGTAACTACACAACAAAAACGAAATTTCAATGCACAACAACAACATTTGGCAACAACACCAGTTTCAAGTCAAAAAAATATAGATGGTTGGTGTTTTCATTCTGCTTTGAAGGTGTTCAAGTATTGAAAGAGCACAGAGTCTCTGAGATTACTGAAAGAGTGAAATGAATAGTGGAAAAATCTTTTCTTCTGTTCGATCTACTTTCTTTTTATAGTAGATTTTTCTGCTGTAAATAAACTAATAATAAATCACTCCATCATGCTGTGTACCTAGTTTACAGAAAATTTGACTAAAACAACCATCGACAGAAGCGATTCATCAACAAAATTTTGATATATATATATATATATATATACACTTCTATCATAATATTTTACTTTTGTATTTTAGAACTTACTCATTTAATCGACAATCAAACAGTAGAAAAGGTAAGAAATTAAACAGATTTTCAATTTCTTTTAATTAGTAACGTATTGTATGTGAGAGCGCATGATCCCACGTTGTTCCTGTTGTTTGATCCCTAATCCAGAGTTATTGTGAAAAACAGTGATTAGAAAAAACAGTCGAGAATAAATATAAAGTAAAACTGATTGCTGCTGTTTTTATATCAAATAAAGTAGTGATTTTTCAAAATAGCTGTTGCTGACTAACAATCGATAACAGTAGATTTTCACATATATATATATGCTACCGGTTCCATCTAAATACACACCGAAAGGTTCATTCTTTCTTTTTGTTTCTTCTTTATCTTCTTTCGTTCGATTTTATGTGTGCGTATATGAATGATTTTTTTTTTGTCATTTTTTACACTATTATTCTGTAATTGAATGTTTACATTTTGTATTTGTGTCTAAAAACAATGTCACGTGTAGTAATAGTTTTGCGCACACGATATTCACACATTCATGAAAATGAACACGAAAAATATGCCGACAAATTGGTTGTATCGTATTCCGAAGATGATCATCATTATTTTGTTAATTTCAATTAATTGATGTAATTTTGTAACAAAATGGTATTCATTTAATTACAAGCATACACCGAACATTCGGTGAGTTAGTTATCAATAAAACGGCGAGATTATTGATTAAAAGGTGTATGAGCTTTGTTATTTATTATTTTCACAGCCAGCTTTGATCTATCGCAAGAATGAGAGGGTGGGATGTCTCTGCTACTTATTTTTCGTTTGATGACACACCAAACTTTTTAGCAAGTTTCATTCACAAAATATCTCCGTGTTCGCCTCCTGCCGCATTATCTCAGTCATTTTTAATTTTAAAATACAGTTTTTCATCAAAAATATTTACCACACGAGATCACGTACTAAAAATATAAAATTTCTTCGAATACGATTGACCTATGGGCAAAAGTTTCCACTAACATATCTAACTTGAAAATATCACTCTTCTAACTTGCTTGTTTTCTTCACATAACGTTTTTGGTTTTAACATACTCTAATAAAATGCCTTTGGTTTTTACGCCTCTTTTTCTGTTTGGTTATGGTTCTCTTTAAAATGACATTATTTAGCGCTGTTTTCCTTTTTATACAGATTTTCAATACCTTTTTCTTCTTTTGTTTTGGCAAAAAGAAAAAACTATATATACGGATATCTGTTACAATTTTTAATTCCATTGTGACTTTTTGTTACTTTGTTTTGCTGATGGAAAAAAGAAGTTATTTAATGATGTTTTGTTCAATTCTGTTGCCTAAGACAAAATTTCGTGTGAAATATGGTGTGAATGCTAATTTCTGAAATAATCTCTATACAGAAGTTTTTCATACTTATTATTTTAATGAAATTAACGATGCTGTACTAAAAAAAGAAAAATTTGAGATAAAAGATGTTTAGACGATGCTTGTACGGTATCATTGACAAGTTTAATCATCAGCTTCACTTAACTTTTGCTTTTGCTTTTGAAAAAGAATTTTTTTATTAATAATAACCATCACGAAGTCTCTCTCTTGCATTCGAAGGAAAAAAAAGGAAAGAGAGTTGCCACAAGTTTGAAGCTAGTGCTGCTGTATGATTATAAGTGCATGCTTATGATTAATTTGACCATCGGTCAGCATGTTGTATGTTTTTGTTTGATTATATTTGATCTTTTTATCAATTTTGCCTGTTAAAAAAACCTAATCCTTTGATATATGTTGCATGCTTTTGTTGGATGTTTTTAAACAGGCAGCTATTATCCTTTGAAATGAGCAGGGTAAACATTACAGGTGCTTGTGTATCTTTCTGAATATTATTATTATTATTATTCTTTATTGTTTTCTCATTTTAGGTGAGTATGGTTCACTGTAATTATGATCACACGTTATCATTATTGTCTCAATATGCTGCTGCCGTGTCTTTTATTTTAAATAATAATAATACTTGTACTTTGTTATCACCTTCTTGTTCTTTTTTTTCGTCTTCACCTTCCATAGACAATTTGTCTTTATTATTGTTATTATTCAATATATTTTCGTTATTATCCATTGAAATTCGAATTTTACAAGAAAAATTTCTATTATTATTATCGTCATCTGCACTACCTTCTATTTTCGTATGAATCTCTCTCTGTCACTTATTTTCTTTTGTATGAAATTCTCATTTTTTTGTTTTTTAACATTGAACTTTGTACGTCTCTCTTTCTCTTTCTCTCTCGTCCGCGTAAATCAAATACATGTATGTGTGTTTTTCTATCCACCTACCATTTGCTACTCTTATTGTTAATTGTGGCTCTTATGAATCATGTAGGAATTTTCATTTTTTTATTTTTTCTTCTTGTTACTGTTATTGTTTTCTTATCCTTAAAAAATTAAAACAAAATCTGCCCGTGAAAAATTAATCTTTCTCTGATAGACTTTATATAGCTTCTTAATAGAAAAATATAGACAATATTCTCGTAGAGAATATTTTATTCAATGGACAAAAGATTTCAGATGCTAATTTATTGTTTCTTTTTCTCCTTGTTATTGATGCTTTCTGTTTTGTTTTGTGCGTTTGTTAGTATTAGGAAAAAAAAAGGCGCCCTATGTATAACCACTTTTATCTTTGTTTATATTTGTATTTTTTTGTTCTGATGAATGCGTAGTAGGAAGAAACGATCTGCAAACTCAAATGAAAATGAAACATTTTTGTTTTGTGGATTGCTTTTTCTCTTTTTCTTGTTTTTGTTTTCGTTATTTCGCTTTTACCTTAATTCTCTCCCCTTTCGAACTTTTTTCTAGCCTTATATACATTTTTTAGTACACAATGAAACAATAATAAGATGTTCTTATAAAAAAGCTTTTTGTTGTAATATTAATAGTATAATAATACATGATAATGATGAACAGAGGCAGATGTTTAAAATTGAAAGATAAAGAAAATAAATTTCTTCTGTATAGTATTTTGAGGTATTTTAATGGAACCGGTACGAAACAGACATTTAATAGTTGATCACTAAGACCACAGAAATTTAATAGAGAACTTATTATTCCTTTATACGGTTGTTTGTTGTAAAGTGGTAACGTTCTTCTGGTTTATTTTTCCCAGAAAGTGTTTCACTTTATTTGTATATAGTATTGCTAGACATATATAGGAATATGAAATTTTAGACTTGATACAGTTTTAATGTAATTTAATTTTGCAACCGCTTTTTAGTCACGAGATACCTAAACAGAACTCATTTCTGAAAGATTCTGAAAGAATCAAAAGAAGACGGTTTCGACCTTTCTCAAGGGTCCGGCCTAGTCGTTTCTTTCAACAAAGACAAAGTTAAGAAACGACAAGCAGAATAAGTGCAGCGGTCATCGATGTCGTAATCTGTTCTCATCCTGTAATAGTTATCATTCGGCAAAGAATGATACCGGTGGTGTCGTATCACGGTGGTAACGGAGTTATGTTGTTTGTCGTGCCTTAACTCTGTCTTTCTCGAAGGAAACCACGTCACGACACCCTTGAGAAAGGTCGAAACCGGTCGTGGTATTTTCTTTTGGTTCTTCAATAAGTGAGTTCTGTTTGAGTCTCTAGTGACTAAAACGCAGTCGTAAAATTAAATTAAATTAAAATTGCTAAACATTTTCGAACGTTAAGAACTCACCTGTCAAAAAACTTGATTCGGGGATTTATACATAGTGTGGTAACCCAAACTCTTCTCCTTCAAATGCACTAAGTTTTTTGTCTCCAATAACACTTTCAGGGTTTTTCAGCAAGTTTTCTGGAAGATCTGAACGGCAGCCCCTTTTAGTCAAAAAATTAGCCATTCTAGGAAAATAATGTCTGGACAGATAAATATCTATGTGGGAGGGGGGGGGGAGGTATCAGATTTCTCATGCTCGAAAATTTGTTGAAAACTATAAACAACTTTTTTTGGAACCGACATCCAGAAAAAAAAATGCACTTTTTGTAAGCCAGGAGTAATTTGCCTTTTTCTCAAATCACTTTTTAGACTTAGAGCTATCATCATCATTTTTCAGATTTCTCTTAATTAGTCGAGTTAATTTTTAAAATGACGGGTAGACTTGTGGCCATGATTTAACTTAACAGAATCGGATTATTTATTTTTGTCTTTGGTTTAAAGAAAAATAAACATTTTTTGCACTTTTGAGATAAAACCTCGAGACGGAAATTAAAAATATTTCAAAAATCTTGCTCTATTAACTTATAGTCACGAGTCTTTCCGTTATTTAAAAACTAACTATAGTCTTATGGGATGAAAATAGAATAGAAAATACATTCTCTATGCTATTTTATATATTATCAAAAGGGAAATTAAACTTTAAAACTGTATAGTCCGAATAGCAATTATCGAATTTGGAATACTGCAACATAAAACTAAAGTCTGTTACCATTCCATAGTTGTTTGTAGCATTATTAAATATAAAACATTTGACAATAGAACTCGATTATTGTACATGTTATCTTTCAGAGATGCAGAATATACCCGTTTTCTTCAACGACGATCTGAGGAAAATTGTATGATTTGAGGATAGTTTTTAAAACACTTTGAAAAATAGTATTTTTGCTGAAAAAATAATTACAGATAAAAATCATCCGAGGAATTAAGAAATTTTCATATCCAGGGAAGTTTTTCATTCTTACGGATAGATTCTGTACCTTTGATTACCTCTTTTCTTATGTTTATGGAAAAATCGGCTATACTTATTCAACTACGGATAGTTCTAACGATAGACATAGATAGAAATAGAATATAGAAAACTGTTTATCAATTTTGAGATCTCTTAGAAATTTAACATATACTAAACTGATCGTTAAATAATAAAGACAACTTGCATCTATCGTCTTTCGATGATGTTTAATGTTTTTTGTCACTTGTTAGACTCTGTAAATCATTGAAATCTATATAAAAGATTTAAACGATCATTTTTAAGCACACTTCAAATACAAAAAATTTGAACAGTTCACTTCGAATCATTGTCAGCCAATCTTTTAGCTAAAATTTTTGGTAATTCTACCTTATCATTGTCTGATTTTAAATTAATTACAGTCTACATTTCCGCATTAATGCATCATGTTTTTTGTCGATAAACTATTCGTACATTGCTCCATATGATATTCTTACCACTAAGTATTCTTGATATGAACTTGAAACTTATCTATTGACTGATTTCATCAAATGAAAACTGTAATCAGTACCGATTTTCTGAAACCTATCACAAATTTTTTCGTTAACCAATTGCACTTAAATTTTCTCTAGCAGCAAGTTTCTTTACAGTTATTACATTATTTCCTTTTCCTTTTTCAAATGTTTGTTAAACTAAAATGAATGATTGTGTCTTTGCTGATATATCTTTTAATCTCTCACTAGGAAATATAGTTACGGAAGAGAAATAAAGAAGAAAATAAGTTTCACTTTCTCTTTTATTAAGTTTAAATACAAATGATTATTTGCTTCTGATTGTCGAATTATTTTTCGAATTATTTATTGTTTTTCTTTATAATCACTCTGAAATTTTCTACTATATTTCACGTGTATATTATTCTAATTTAGTTTAATCTACGTTAGTTTTTTGTATGAAATCGAATTGTCAATACTTCATGTAATATTTTAATTTAGAAGCTAATAATTGTTCAGAACGATGATACGCACATCAATTAATAATTATAGATAGTTTTATTTTGCACGAGTTATTAATGATGTCATGTTATAGTTAATTGTATGTATTTGTGCATGTGATTAGACATGCAGTGGCATGCAGCATATCATCAAAAATCTCTTTTTTCAAATGTATACAACAATGTTCTGTTCAACACTATCATCTTCCCTTCTGTATTTAGCTAACTGAACGCATCGTCAATGAAACTACTGAATCATCTTCACAACCATCACTACGCAAAGATACGTCGCAAAGATACGTAAACAATGAAAATCAGCGAGACGTACCGTCACAACACTTAAAAGAGGATCAAGAAGTAACGTGGACATCGTCTACTGATGACAATGTTCGTTATAAATTATTAACCGAGCAAGCTCCAATTAGTCAAATATCAAAACAACCGGAGCAACAGTCAAAAACTGGTAAAAGATGCTACTTAAAAAAAAATTGCCTCATCAGTAGTAATTGATCATTTAGATAATGAAGAACGATCAACAATATTATCACTATCGAATGAGGATGAAAAATTAACAAGAAAAGACGATGATGAGTTAGAACATGGTTTTACTATTGAAAATAAATCAGAGCAAGAAGAAGTCTCGTCTTCTTCGTTATCATTATTACCACAACAGTCGCCAACAATATCCACGGATCAAGAGACACCAGTTGTTGGTAATGTTAAAAATGAAGAAGAAGGCGATAAAATCAATGATAGTGTTCAATGGCGCGATCATACACCACCAGTGTCTACCAGCTTCAAGCGTACATCATCAGAGAGGCAATCAGTTAATCGTACAACATTCCAAAACGAGCAGGTAAATTGAAAAAATTTCTTTTTTTGAACTTTCAGTAATTTCTGGGATGGTGCTGATAAATTTATCAATCAACTAAACAGAGTCTATGCTAAAAATTTGCTTAAATAGCTTAAAGATATTCTGTTGCATTTTATCTTCTTGATTAGAAAATTTTTATAGTAGCATACAAAGGAAATTTTCTGTGTGTGATTGAACAAGATAATAGAAATGATTCGCTAAATAGCTTTGTTAATAGAAGAAACTTTGGATTTTTATTGTCAAACTGAATTATAGTCTGATGGTGCTTTCAATTTGTTTATCGATCCACTATTGTTTGAAAATCAAAATACATCTGAAATATCAATTCCTTTTGAATCATTCCAACTACAATGTAGTGAAATAGAAACTTTTCATGACAAAGTAAAAAATACAATATCTGTTCAAACCAATTATCAAAAGATGAAAAATAAGAGAATGTATCATTCAAAATCGGATAGTTCTCTAAATAAATCATCAACTATAAAAAAAACAAAAAAATCGATTAGTCTAAGTTTTGATGAGTTAAACAAACGTACTATTGACAATGAATTTCGTATAAAATTAACTGAAAAACATAATTATGAGCCACAAGCAACATTTCGAGAATTAGAAGAATTGGTAAATTCATTTGATTTAAATAAAAACTATGTGATTGATACTGATGGTTTTATTCGAAACAAAGAGGATCATCTCGTATTTACATTAACTCAAGCAATTGATTATGGAATTATTCGTTTAACAAATGACACAAAAACGACAATTAAAAGAGATGAATCACCCAATATATCTAGAACAGCATCATCTGTCATTAGTAGACAGTCAAGTAGATCTAAACATTCAACAATTTCATTTCGTTTACAAGAGGTACTGCAGTTTATGTGTCCCTATACAATTTATCCTAGCTATTGTTGCTTTCTTTATGTAGTAGTTCTACACAAACAGAAAAGTCACTGTTATTGTATTGTGTTGTTGATGTTCCCTAGATCACTAGCTTGACAATCCATATATTACCTTGTTGTCACACCAGAAAATTACGTGCTTTGCAGAAATGTCTTCAATAATTCGTATGTAACCGTAAAAATTGTCCCCTTTTTGCTTTTATTTGAGACGATAGTTTTTGTTGCTTATTGTTTTTATTTTGATAATTTGCTAACTGTTTGTTCAGCAACAGTCAATTTGCTTATGTCGTTGGACAACAGGATTTTCTAAAGTTTTTTTACGTCAAATGATCGGTGAAGGATGCAGCCTTACTACATCTACGTTCTGACGTAGAATATAATTGATTCCAATTGCCAGATATCGTAATTTTCGTTTGAGTAAAAAAAAAATTGCCTTTTTTAACGGTAAGAAGAGATCATCACTAAATATTTCGATAAAAAAAAAGAATAAATCTTACTGTTTGATAGTATCAAAAGCTCATCGAAATAAACCTCCTCGTACTGTTCTTGCTCTAGATTGATGATGCTTATTAATATTGTTCTGATATTCATTTTCATATATTATATCGATTTTATTTTTATCAGACGGTTCTTTTGATAATTATGATTGAAATCTTGTTACATTGGCAAGATGAAGTGAGAGAAGACAAACAAGTCTTATTCAATTGCGTGTGTGTGTCTTGCACGATAAATGCTTAATAGGACAAACAACTAACTAATTGTTCATTTGTTATAAATCAATAATCAACAAATCTAATGTTTGCTCACTAATTTAGCTACTGTTTTTACTATTTTTTTTTAAATAACAAATTTGTCGCATGTATCTTTTTTCATCTGTTTCTAAGACATGCATGTATCGATCTTTTTATTTTTGCAGTCACAATATGTACAGACGACTCATACTCAGTTTGCAAGCTAATTGACTTTTTATATAATTTTTAATTTCCCATTTTGCAAGTCAATTAATTAAGAAAAATATACAGATTCTTTTGTTCATATTTAGTTAATTTTACGATTAGTTCTCGTTTCGAACGAGAAGACACTAATTTTACAACCTCTTACTAGTTATTAGAGACTCAGACAGAATCATTTCTGAAAGAATCAAAAGACGATACCACGACTGGTTTCGACCTTTCTCAAGGATCTCGTCAGATGGTTTCCTTCGAGAAAGACAGAGTTAAGGCACGACAAGCAACACAAACTCCGTCCACACCGTATGAGGGTGTTACTATTCCTTGTTCTTATCGAACAAAGAACGATAATTTTCATACGATGAGAACGAAGCACGATATCACTGTACAATGCACGAAACTAACTAAAATGCAAAATTAACTAAATATAATTATTCAAGTTGAGTTTCACATTTATATAATATTTGTTCGTTCTATAAGTAATCAGTTATTGTTAATAAAAGAAAGAATAAGATGATACAGCTCTCTATTGCTAAACCAAATTCAAAATATTTCGGGATGTTCTTAGTGCTATAATACTGTGATATCCGACTTTTACAGGTGTATATCAAATATAACTTTGATTTCGATTTATGTGTAACCAAAATAGCATTAACTATTGCTAAAATAGAGTTTGAAGATTATCTTCATCCTGTAAGACGCGTATAAGTATATTTTTGAGGTTGATGAAAAACAAAGAGCGTTTAAAATTATGTTATGTTATATGTTTTCTTTAATATCATGTCTTAATTATACTTTTTTTTCCTGTTAATTACTTATAGAACGAAAGAATGTATATTTTTTTTTCTTAATTAATTGGATTATAAAATGGAAAATTAAAATATATATAAAAAATCAATTAACTTGCAAACTGAGAAGGAATACCGTACATACACACAGAAACATCTACATATCGAACAAATATATCAGACTATCACATGTTTTATTATTTTTATGTTAAGGTTGATGTGGATGATATTATTGATGAAATGAAAAATGCTATACAACGTTTATCTTCATTTCAACTTCAAATTAATAAATATGCTTATATCAATGAAAATATCGATGAATTAAAATCAAATATTGAATTTATTAAAGTAACATATAAAGATGATTAAAATTAAATAAAACGAACGATTATTATTATTTTTGTCTTTACTTCTTTTAGGCCATACGAGAGGATATTCATCAAGAAAAATCATTAATTAATTCATTATTAAATCGTTCAAATTCATTTTATGCCTATTCGAAAATTAATGATCAAGACAATGGTGATCTTGAACTATTAGCGAATGATTTGAAAGAAAAATGGGAAAACGTATGTATACTATCTCTCTTAGTTCGATGTGTAATGAATGCTAATTTTTTTTCTCTCTCTCATTCATAGGTTCGTACAACAAGTGGAAATCTTGTCGAACGTTTGGACGATTATTGTTTGAAAATAAATCAATTTATCAAAGAACATGATCGTTTAAACGAATGGTTAAATGAAGCTGAAAAACAACTAATTGATATTCAAGTAAACTGTAATTTGGAGAATATAAATGAAACAGTCGAAAAATTAAAGGTTTGTCTATTAAAATTTTTTGTTCTATTATTAATAGTCTAGTTATTATTATTTTGTAGAAAACATTAGAAATGGGTGTAGGTGCTCAAGTTGATATAAGATTTTTACAAGAAAATTTACAATTAATACATTCGACAATAAATGATTTTGATCGATTTATTCAACAAACAACAATAAATCAAAATCAAAATCTGCTCGATGATAATAATGACGAAGAGTCGTTAACTTCATATGATAAAAGACTTAATAATAATAGTCTCTTGTATAGTACGCTTCAGCAAAAACTTGAACAATTAGCATCCAAGTAAGATAGATGATAATTATAACAATTTCTTCTTTTTTGTTTTTACTTATAATTATGGGAAAAAAAAGCAATTTAATTATAAGTAAAAAATGATTGCATTATTAAATTTTGCAAAACATGAGTACTGATAAAAAAATGAAAAAAAAAATGTTACAAGTACTTTTTTCCATTTCTGGCATATTGAAAATTTGAATTCTCCATTTTATACTGATCATCTACTTACTCTCTTTTATAGTTATACGGATTATCTAAAACGATGTAGACACTTATATGATCAAACTTTAAGTCAACAAACGAACTTAAACACATTTAATCATGTTCATGATGAATTGAATCAATCTATGAATGATTTTGAGAAAAAACTTAGTAATGATGAACAACAAGCAACAGAAAAAACGGTACTATTTAATTAAAAATAAATGTGTTAACATGTTCATATTATCTATATTCTTTATGGTAAAAAGTAGTCGTAGAAGTAGAAGAAAAATACTAAAATAGAACAATGAAGTATAAATATAGTGAATGTCTAGTGGTTATGATCATCGATATGCATAAGTGTCATAGATAAGAATTGTAAAGGTTTTATTTTATTTTTAGTCAGTAAATATCCTTCATGATAATAATGAATTGCAAATATTATTATTAAATTGTCAACAACAGTTAGAAAAATTACGTCGAATAAGTCAAACAATCGATATATTTGATAATCAAGAGGATATTATTGAATCGTCTTCTTCTTCTACTTCAATACAAAATCAGATGAATGATTATGTAAGTAAAAATATTTATTATGTTATATGTTTCTATTGCCTTCTCATAAAACAATATTCTAAAGTTTAAATAATTTTGATAAAGTTAAGTTTGTCAACATTTCATTATTTTGTCATTTTAATTTTATTAAAATAAGAAAGGATTAAAAATGAGAATATAAATTGTTCTTTTCTTTTTTTTTTTGTTTCTATTTTCTTTTATTTTTCTTTCTCTCGTACATACATACCGTTATTCATGTTGAGACATAAACAGACAAGAAGAATGACAAAATGCAAGAGATCTGTTTTGAAACTAAGTATATGTATAGAAAGGAAACGTGTCAGAATAAAAGAACATTGCGTACACATAACAGATGACTCTATTAGCGTCAACAGTATTTATTTCCTAATTTAATTAAATGAAGGTCATCATTGCCAGATATATCACTTATTGATTGTCTAGAGACTAGATCTCTCCATATTGATTAAGATTCTAGTTTAAGAGTCAAATTTAGATAAAAAATAAAACAAAAAAAACTTCTGTTTTTATCTGATATTTGTCAAAAATCAGTTTGCTCGTAGATGAATCGATTATCTTTACTTCATTTTACTTCATATTGTAAGCGTTTTTTATTTTCTGTTCGACATATCTCTTTACAAAAATAACTGCATCTTTCATTATTTTCTGTTTCAATATAAAACATACTTTTTTCACATTAAGGTAGGAAAATAGAGCATTGATGTCTGAGTTTTCGAACATTATATAGAGAAAATTATAGCTAAAATGTATAATTAGTGAACGAAAGAAGAAACGAAATAGTCAATAATTCTGATTATGATCTGTTTTCCATCATTTTTCTTTCCATCTTCTTTTAGTTTTTGATTATTTAAAAATTAAAATATGTGTGCAATATTAATTTCTTATGAATTATTGCATTAATAAATTTTGAAAAATATTTTTTCTTCTCTCTAAGCAACTCTTTGTTGTCTTCTCTATTAGAAAGTTTTCAGATAAAACTCATTTGTCCTTCATAATAATAAGTATTTTTATTGAATTTGTCAAGGTTTACTAACAATCCGAATGAGATATCTATTGATAATGTAACCTAGCTAAATAGCATTTACAATTAGTAAAAATACTATAACGAAATGGCGAACTAAAATAAAATAAGATCTACTTTATGACATTAGTAGCGAAATAAATCGGTGTTTTCTACATTTCTTTGTTTTTCTTCTGTTGACACATTTGTCGAATATCGTCTTTTTAATGTTAAAATAGAGTGTCTGATGTAAGCTCATTTATGGGGAGTATGCTAAATAGTTTGCTTTCTTTTAATATTTGAGAATTATTTTTGTTTTTTTAATATTATTTTCAATTATTTATATCTGTTGGATTTCTCTTATTGTCTGATAATATAAAAAAAGAGTAATGTATGTGATATAGACACAATCAGTCAATCTATCTATCTCTGTGATATTAATGTAGTGAGTAATCGAGAAAAGAAATGAAAAAAAGAATCAATTTGTAGAAATGATGATGAACACAAGAAAACTTGGACAAGTGTATTGATCAGTCTTTGTACATAGAATAGAATAGTGAAGATGTAAACTCTGATTGCTCTTTTTATCGCTTAAATATATCTCTGCATGCAAATGTATATCAAATAAATAAGAGCATAGACATATTCTCTCAGCCATATTTATTTTCATTAGACATCAGTCGTAGAAACCGCATAGTGCGTGTTTTTCTTTTTTTATTAAATAGCAGTTTTTCTTTGATATTTTCATACTCTTCCTTTCTCGTGTATGCGTTCAAATTGCATAGGTAGTCTCGTTCAAGAATCTTTTTCTTACATCTTCATGTTCAACGAAAAGAAAACAAAACATCGTGTGGGAGAAAAGAAATGAATCATCCAATTTTTCTTTTATTTTCTCTTCTTTGATGATTATTAATGTTGAAATAAGGGACATGCCAAAATTTTGTCACAATTTAAGAATAAGAAAAAAAAGCAAATAATTTTGATATATTTTTGATTGTTATGAATTTTATTAAACTAAAGATGTTCAGAAGATGACTTAACTTTGAGTAGTATCGTTTCTCCACGCGTATTCGATAAGAATAAATCTCTTTAACCTCCTCCTTCTCACTTCCCGCACATACTCTATGAGCAAGAATATATGTCTATTTATTTATTTCATCAGATATTGATAAATTTGTATAGTTTTGTTGATAGTACAAGTCTATCACTCAAAATTACCGTAATAAAACTATATATTGTTGGATGACTACATCAGTCAATTGAATTCTAACATTTTTCTGTATCCTCCCCTCCATAATGAGAAAAAGAAATATTAAAAAATATATCATTTAAATTTAGATTCATTCATCGATTGAAACACACACAAATCGATGGAATGATAATGAAAAACGTTTAATGCATCATTTTGAATTAATTCAACGTTTAAACAATGAAACTCGAAATATTAAAGAAAATATTATCGATTATATTCAATGGTTAGAAAAATCTCATGAACAATTTGATACTGATTTTCTACATAAACCATTATCATTAAATCGTTCAAAATTAGATGAACAAATTATTATTTATCGTCAATATAATGCACAATTACGTACACGTCGTCATTCATTTAATGATATTATTAAAACAAAATCTCAATTATTAAATTTTAATGATGAAAATAATGAATTAGAAAGAATTGAAAATAATTTAAAACAATTAGAATTTGATTCAAATGATTATAATGAGAAAATAAATCATTTATCATCAACATTAAATGAATATTTATTAGCACATACTCAAATTATTGACTCATATGCAAAACAAATTCGTCAATATGATTCTTATATAAAACAAAATGATTTTTCAAATATAAAAATATTATTAGGTAGGCATTAAACTTTCTCTTTCTCTCTTTCTTATCATTTAAGTTAATAAATAATAATAGTTGTATTATATTTATTACTATAGGTAAAAATAACGAAGATTATGAAAAGAAATTATCATTATACAATCAAACTGTTGATCAATTATTAATTGAAAATAATGAAAATTTAACAGATCAAAATGATATTTTAACATTAAAACTTATTGTACAAGAACATCATGACAAATTTCAACGTTTAATAAATGATCTTACATTAATTATAAATAATCGTGAACATTTAACAGAAGAATATAATGATTTAAAAACAACAATTGAACAATGGTTTATCTCGAGTGATTATACATTAAAACATATAGAACCAATACCATTAGAATTAGATGCATGTTTAGAACGTTTAGAAAAATGTAATTTACTCTATAATGAATATCAGACAACTTATAATGATAATGTTAATCGATTAAAAATATTATCAAATCAAATTTTATGTTTTCATACAAGTTCAAATATTGATAATTTATTAGATACACTTAAAATGACATTTGAATCAACAATTAAATTTGATAGTGAACAAATTATTAAAAATGATACAACTGAAAATGAACAAATGATAACTGTAGCTACAGAAAATATTGTTGAATGTTATAAAAATATGGGACAACGTATTCAATCTTATATTGATTATTTAAAATTATTAATAGAACAAATTGAAACATACAAAACATCACATAAAGAAGCACAATTATGTATTGAACAAACAAACAAATTACTCGATTATGATATTAAACAAAATCAAATTATTTCATTACCTATTGAACAACAACAAATTGATTTATTTATGAAAAAATATCAAGTATGTAATGAGAGTCATCAACTGTGACTATTAACAATATGAACGATCATCTCTCTCTCTCTTAAGAAAACTGTTTTTCTTGTTCAAACACTTTTTTTTATTCTTGTCCTCGTTCAAAACGGTTGAACACAATCTCCATCGTATTCATTTCTACAATTGTTTTTCATTATTTAATTCTTTTTTTTTTGTGTTTTCGTAGGATATTGATGAACGTTTAAAATCGTCGAATGTTACAATTGAAGACTATAAAGATACGGGTTTCTCATTAATTAATGGTGGTCAAAAACGTTTTGATACAAAGATGATTAAAGATGAAATTGAAATAATTGGTTAGTAAATGATAGATTGTTGTTTTTTTTTTTAATTGATTAAAATTAACGTTATATAAAATATTATTTTAGATCATCTATGGTGTGATTATATTGAACATGTTCATGATATGATTGATTATATTCAATTACAAAAAGATGAATTATCACAATTTCATCATTTGTCAAAAGATCTTTTAACTTTAATTGAAGAGAAACAATGTGTCGTCGATATATTAAGTATTCGACAGCGTACATTATCCGGTTCATCCTATGATCAACATCAATTACGTGAACAAATTGATCAAATAAAACAAATTCATGATGAAATTGAAAAACAATATGAACGAGTAGAAGATTTAAATTTAAAAGGAGAAGTATTATTAGAACGTTGTTCTACAATAGATAATAATAATAAAAATAATGTTATTGAGCAAACAATTGAAAATATAAATAAAAAATATGATAATTTAACAGTAAAAGCAAAATATTTATTACACAATTTAACACAAATAAAAGATTATGTTCAACAATTTGAAACACAATTATTATTATGTCATAATTTCATTGAAAAAATTGATGATGATGTTAAAATGGTTTTGATCGATAAAAATACCGATGAACAATCACAACAACAAAATATGTTACAAGAACAACAATTAGCGGTATGCATTAGATATCTTCGTATGAACTAAACATTAAATTTAGAAAGGTCAAGTCTATCATCGAGTAGATCTAAAATAGAATAATTCTCTAACTGAAGCATTTTCTTTTTAAACTTTTTTTATATTCTATAATCAAACGGGTATAGAACTTACTTTTCTATAAAACCGTATGTTTAATGCCGAAATTAGTTGAATTTTCACGACATAAAACTCAAATAATCCAGTAAGCAGCACTTTCCCGTTCAGATTTTCATGTTTTGCAAAGCATTCCTGATCGTTCAATTTTATTTCTTTTTATGATAATTCTCTGATCAAAAGGTACATGTTCTCAACTTTTAACAAGATATATCATTTTTTTTTTGTTCTGTAAGTTATTCTTTTCCTTCGCCATAAACCAAACATAAAACTCGATATGGTACTAAAAAAATGACAGTATCATTAGTATTTTTCTTTCAAATTTCGAACTTAACATCATGAGTTTGATAGTAATATATGTCGAATTTCCTACTCTACCGATCGAGTAGGAAATTCTTCCTTCATGCGATTTAATTAGTTCGATAGTTTTCTGTTTATAATGAAAATATGTCGAATGTTCTGTTGAATTTATTAATGTCTTTTGTATTCATCTACAACGCTGTTCTTAAACAATATAATCATCGAATAGATTTATGGAAGGCGAAAATATTACAGAATTAGTGTACTCTAATTCTTTGAATGTCACAGAAATTTAATAGACAGTTTCATAGAAATATAAATTCTCCATCGTTGTTTGATTATGATTAATAAAAGTTTAAAAAACGACATGATTGCAAGAGTCATCTGTCTAGTATAACTTTTTTTTCTTAGAAATTATTAATAATGTAATTCTCTACTACTATATAATAATGTAAATTTGACTATGATTTATATTTAGACTATTGAGAAAGATCTTGATTTGGCTCAATTATCATGGCAAAATGCTAAAGAAAATCTTGATAAATTATTTAATTATTTAAAATCTTTATCATTACCTATATTAGAAAATGATGTTATTAATAATTATACAGAAGATCAACAACAAGAAATACGAAATCTTGAATCAAGTTTATCACCATTACGTCAACGTTTAAATAGTGAAGAACGTTTATTAAAACAAATTGAATCAAAATATGATGATTTAAAACGAAAATTATTAGAAAAACAAGAACGACGTAAAGATATTGAAACAAAATTAAATCAATTTGAATTATGGTTAAATGAGAAAAATTTAGAATTTGAAAAAACATATGATAAACGATTAATATCGGCTGATTATAATAAATTAAAAATACAAAAAGATGATTATGAACATTTTTTGACACAGTTAAATGATAAAGAAATAATTATCTATGAATTAAATCAATATTTCAGTGAAGAAGGTGAACAAAATCAAAAATTTTATTCATTATCAAAACAATATAAAAATCTTATGAAAAATTGTGAAGAATTACATAATAAAACACGTATTTGTTTTGATTTGGCAGAAAATATTAAATTAGCTACAACAACAATTTTAACATGGATCGATTGTCAAGAACAGAAAATAATTGATGATACAAAACGGCTCAATAAAGAACAATTAGTGGAAAAAATTAAAGAGGATCAAGTACATTGAATAATCACGAATTACGATAAAATTTCTACAATTTTCTTTTATTATTTTTTAGATACTTCTTGGTGAAATTGAAAAACGTCATCATGATGAACGAACGATCGAAGGTGATTTAAAAGAATTATTATTAATGTCAAGTATCGATCATGATATTGTACAAAATGTTGTTGAATCATTATCATTACGTTTACAAATGTTGTATGATAAAGTCTTTTTGAATCGACAAAATAATGAACTATTATTATCAAAATTGAACGATTTTACTGAACAACATGAAATTCTTTCAAATCGTATTCGAGAAAATGTCGATAGTAATGATGAAACATTAATATCAAATATTGAAGTATACAATCGTTTAGCTGATGAATTAAAAATATCATTTCCCGATATGACTGATCAACAATCTATAGATGATTTAAAAAATAGTTTAACGTCAAATTTTGTTCAACAAGAAAAAGATAATCTATTAAAAAATCAAACATCATCAATTAGTAAACGTTTAAATGAAATTCAATCAAAAATTCAATCAAATGATCAACCACAAACATTAGAAGAATTACAAACAGAAATTGAAAATATAAAACAAGAGATACAACTAAAACGTCCAGAAGATTTAACAACAATAAGTAATGAACAAATAAAAATTGAAACACCGACACCAGAAATTATTAAATCAATTGTTAGTAAAATTAATTCATTACAAGTTGATGCAAAAGAAAAAATTTCATCATATGAAAAAGCTAAACAAATTTTAGAAGAAAAACATGATAAAACAATAAATAATATGAAACAATTAGAAACATTAGTGGAAGAAGCAAAATTAATAGAAAATGAAAATGAATTTGATAAAATTTTTAATGAACAAATTCAACCATTGAAGCAGCAAATTTTGTTAGGTGAGTACGACAATCATATTTTATTAACATAAACTAGTGTACAACATTCAACAGTGTAAAAAAATGACAGTCTAAATCAAAATTTCTGACTTTTTTTACGTTGTCCCCATCTATGTCTTAGTTTCGATTTAAAAGAAAAGGTTCCATTCTGACTTTACGACGAAATCTGTCGGCAGCGGCTGTTGTCAAGTAAAAAGAAAACGGTTCAAGAAAAACACAAAGAAAGACTAGAGCCTATATGCAGACTCTATGTCGTTTTTGTTTTGGATTTTATTGACTTTTTTTTTATCGTACCCCAATGTATTTTCAGGGCTAATTTTGCCAAAGTACTTTTCATGATCCTGAATAGTTAGAATAAAAATTCTTTTGGTAATATATGGTCTATATTTTAAAGTATAGTTTTCCCATACTAAGATCGGAAAATGGGTATTTCTGAAAGACGCGAACATCCACAAACACCCATAAATTAAAATTAGAGTTAGACAATCGATAGAGCTCGTCGAGCTGAGTATAGCAACGCCTAACGAACACCCAAAAAAGTTTTTATAGTTTCGCTTTTTAAGCATATATTTTCAATGAACATTCACGAACACCCTGTAGAAAGGGTAAGAACGCCCAAAAAAGTGGTGTTCGGCTGAGGGTGAGGCACTGGTAGACTCAGAGCAGCCTGGATTTGGCACACCTTTTAGGTGTTCTTACTCTTTCTTCTGGACATTCGTGGGTGTTCATTGAAAATATATGCTTAAAAAGCGATAGTATAAAAACTTTTTTGGGTGTTCATGAGGCGTTGCTATACTCAGCTCGACGAGCTCTATCGATTGTCTAACTCTAATTTTAATTTATGGATGTTTGTGGGTGTTTGTGTTTTTTAGAAATACTCTCGGAAAATAGAGCACAATTGAATTTTTTGCTAAATATGTGCTTGAATGCAAGGCTGTATCGATATTTGGAGATTTTAATCTAAACGAAAAATAAAATCAATTTATGAGACTAATGAATTTTACAGTTAACTTCTGCAAAACTTTTGTTTCATTGTATTATTGAATTAGTGTTATTCTTATTGATGTTTGTTTCAATAAACCCGTGTTATCCATGAATAAGTCTCTAAAAAAATTCTCCAGTATATTAATTTTACATAATTGTATACTATTATTTAGACGATGAACAAAATGAACAATATTTAGATACAATTGATGATAAAATTATTGAAATAAAACAAGTACATGATAAAAACAAAGATGATCGATTAAATAAATATGAAATTGATTTTAATGAATTTGAACAACAAGAATTAAAATCAATTGAAAATCGAGAACAAATTATTTTAGCATTAAATAAATTAAATTTTATTAAAAAATCAATTTTATCATATGATAATAATGAAACAATAGATAAAAAAGAGAAATTATTAAAACAAGTTGATCATCGTTTAGTTACATTAGAACAATTAAAATTGATACATGATAAATTAAATACTATTCAACAGACAATTGATATGTATCTAGCAATGATTGATAGACAATCAGAACAATATCACAATGGTCAAATGATTATTACAAGTGAATTAATAGGTGAACAACAAAAACAAATTATTAATAGTTATAATCAATTACAATCGTGTAAACAAGATTTAAATACATGTCAAATAAATTTAAATGAAATTGAAAAAAATGAAGGTAATACGATTTTTATTCTCTTTCTTTGTCATTGTATCTCTGAATATTATTTTGAAAGAGAAGATGAAAAAATATATTCATCTCTTAATTTAATTTTTATTTTTATTTTTATTTTTTTGAAAATTTAGATCCATCATCACCATTTTTATCTACTGTAAAACAATATCATGTCAAATGTTCAACAATTGAATCAAATCTTAAAAATAGTTTTGATGTTAATAAACTTCAAATTGATGAATATGATCGTTTTAAAATATTTATTGACAAATATGAACATATTAAACAACAATTAATTGAACATCAACAAATAATTGAAAATTTATTGAAAGAACAAGATAAAAATGAGGAAGATATTCGAGATATGTCAATTTTTGAACAAATATTTGATGAAAATGAACAAGCATCACATAAAATGAAAGAATTAAAATTTGATTTTCATAATCATATAGAAAAATTTCAATTATCATTAATAAATAATTTATTAAAATATTTATTAACAGTTGATTTAGAACAAAATCTTGAAGAAAAATTTTTAAATTTATTTTCTCAAACACAAAAATTATTATTAAAATCGACAGAAAAAATGTCACAAACAAGTGAAATATGTTCAAAAATGCAATCAATAAGAAATGATTTTCAATTATTAGAAAAAGAATATAATGAATTAGATGATGGATTATTAATATTTGATTATGAATATTTGAATAAACAATTACAATTAGTTACACAATTAAATGAAAAATTTTTATATTATGAACAAGAATTAAAATCAATTTCAGGTAATATTTTTTTCTCATTATAATCTTTAACTAATCTTTATCGTCTTATTTTTTATATTTAGTTGATCAAATTGATGATGTTGATGTTATAAAATCAATGTTAAATGATTTATTTAAACAATATGATATTTTACGTAAAATTGGCTATGATATTCAATCAAAATATGAACAAGCTAAATTATATTGTACATTATTTTCGGATGCTGCTTTAGAATTAGAAGAATGGTTTCCATTTATTTTAAATGAATTAGATATTCTTGAACAACAACCACAATTAAATGATAATATTGATAATAAATTAAATGATTTAACAAAACAAATTAATGAACATCGACAATTTATTGATAAATT